TGGAATTCAGCCCCACATCTCAGTATTGCTGTTAATCCCTTGACAGGTAAGTCTACAACTAAACTAGTGCAAGCACAAGCAAGAACAGATATTTGCAATGGCTTTTCCATACTCCAGCTGCACTTCAAGGGGTCCAGATATAGGCAGAATTCTCCATGTGCCGTGTCATTCTTCTCTATCTACATGGAGCTTGGTAAGTTACACGATTTTTCTCTCTTTGAATACTTCAAGATAAAAAGTTTGGTTTGAAGAGGAGGCTTTTTGACAAATATTTGACTGGCATTTCTTAAACTTCATAAGCTTTCATGACAAGCCTGCCCACCAGGGCTCACCTTGGTTCAGTTCACTGCTAGGGCTCAGTGACTGATGCCACCCAGACTTTCCACCTGCAATTAATCTAACGGGTTTTTGTAGATACACCTTCAGAACACAGTGCTACAGTGGGTGAAACAAGAGGTAAATGGCATTGTGTGTGTTTCAACTGCAACTGGTGTGACTCTAAGGTAGTCCAAACTTGGCTTTAACAAGAACACAGGCTCCCCCAGGCAAACAGATCTCTTGCATTAGCACATCTGGTCATCTGGATCCTTCGAAGTAAAGGTTATAATTTATTTAAAAGATCTTTATCTATTGTTAATGACAGTGCTTGTGCAAGTAGCTTGACTGGTAAGGACTGAGGCAGAAGGCTTCTGGGAACAGACGAAGGGTGAGCCAGAAGAAGGTGAAAAAGCAAATGAGCAGTGAGAGTGTAAGTTAAAAATAAAAGGTGTAAATCTAACAACTATTGAAAACTTTATGTAACTACTGAAATATTTGACATGCAAGCTTAGGCTGGGAATGAAAGGTTTCCTTCCTTTTTCCAGGAACATCTAGTAGGAGGCTGATGACAGCTCAGAACTTCAGCAAGAGAGAGTATCAGAAACAGAAATAATCTCCACTCCTGAAGTCTTTAAACATTTGTGATGGAAAGTACCTGCTTTATTTGCCTGACTTATAATATAACTTTTTCACTTTCACAGTTGATATCTTCCACAGTTACATAATGCTTTGAACAGCTTTTAGCTTTACACTGTGTATTTTTAACTTTACATTCTCACTCCTGAGCAGACACCTTACTCGGGGGATGAACTAAACTGCAGCTCTGCAGCAATGCCAACAAACATCAGCCCAGTGAAGCAGCTCGTCTCACAGAGCCATGATTCAGCCACATCCCCAACAGACTCATGGTTAAAGCACCCATCCAAGCAGCTGGAGGTCTGGAACAATTCAAATCTAAATCCCTTTTTTCCATACAAGCCCTTACTGTGCCCTATTTGCCAGCTTCTGCACACCCTAACCCTAACTGGACATACCCAGTGTCTGTGGGATGCACCTGAACGAGGCAGGGATGCCATGGGGCAGTGCCTTTGGCACACAGTCCAGGTTTAGTGCTAGCTTCCTGATTTGATTCTGTAACTTCTGTATATTAGCTGCAAAGTGGAGACAACCTTGAAAAAATGCAGGACTTTGACACACTGAGTGCTCTGAACACTGGGCTTTCAACACATCCCTGGTTTTTGCACCCTTCTTTTTGTGCCAGAGAATTCTTACAGCCTTCTGTTGTTCCTGCATTTGACATCAGATGAAATTTTTGCAGGGCTCTAATTTTTGAGGGCAAGAGAAGAAGGCTCTGAGCCATACCCTGGTTCTGCCGTGGTCCAGTCCAGCAAGGGCTGTGGAAAGTGCCCTGAGCAGAGTGACTCTGGCCACATACAGAAACCAGAGAAGGCCATTTACAAACCTAAACAAAAAAAAAGCACTCATTAAGTGAATTTAAACACCTCTTTCCAGCAACAGCCACTGACTGGGATTTGTGTATTTTTGTTACGGCTAAATCCTACACTGGGTACTTCTTCCACCTCTTATGGATGATAGTGTTTGAAATCAGCTTAGGATGGGAAGAGCCAGTTTCCAGAAGAAGAAATCTCTGTGGTCAGGCTGCTTCAAGGCATGAGGCCACTTGGACAGTGAGCTACATCTCCCAGACTCTTCCTTATGGAAAACTGGGTGAAGGAGCAGCCAAGGCTCTCCACCTTAACTCCACACTTAAGCTGAAGGTACAGAGATACACAATTCCAAGTCCATTATCTGAGAGCCTTTACATGCAGAAAGATAAAAACTTAAATGTGCTATTTAGAATTTTATTTTACTGATGTGTTAAAAAAAAGCACCTTTCCCCTACATTTAAACTGTAAATTAAAACTTTTTTATTTTTACCTCGCAGGGAATGCTGTTAGTTGAATGACATTTTTTAAAAGTTTTCCAGTTTGGATTTTGCTCAGTTCTGCAGGCTGGATATGATCAGAAATACATTATTGCATTGTGTTCTGACACAACTTGATGATGTCTTGCTTGGAACTGTTAGCAGCACAAACTAATTCACTATAAAAATGCAAACCTCATTCTATTTACTTCATTACTCACAAATAAAGGGAGGAGTTTCATTAGAACTTAACTATACATAAGTCTGCTAAAACCTTTTCAAAGTACACAGAGAGTTTAATTCTCTTTCCAAAATGACTAAGAGCTCCTACAAAAGAGTCCTCTTACGACTACCTGGGAAGAACATTGCATCCATAGTGGAAAAGAACATCGCTTCTTAAAGAGGTAATTCATCATGCCACCTGCTACCACGTCCCCATGCTTCATAACTTATTTTTATTGACCAAGGACAATGCAGGGAAAGAAAAATGCAGTAGAGATGTATTAAACATTTAAAAAGGCTAAGAAAATAGAAAAAAATCTTCCCATTAAACAGTTATTGATAACTTCTCCTCTTGGAGGACAGCATGATGTAGGCAACACCATTACTTTACTTCAGAGATAATGCAGAAGGCAGCCATCTGATGCTCTAAGTCAGACCCTCCTTAAGCACTTACTGAGGAAATAGATGGGCCTGTTTTGTAGACAGTGAACATAGACTGAACTTTCTTTCCCCTCTCCCTGGATGAAGTTGCCAGCACACCCAAGGGAAGGTCTGGCACCAGCTCTTAGGGGGCACTTTTGGATGCCTGCTTGGGTAATCCTGCCTTGGCTGCAGCAACAGCACAAGAGGCATCTGGAGACAGGGCAGCGGAGAAGCCAACAAACAACAAGGCTTTGTGCATGTTTTATAGAGCTGCCAGGCTTCCAACAGGATGAATCATGTCCAGGTCTAGGTGTGTCTAAGGTCCAAAACTCCAATAGCAGCTGTGAGAAGAGGGAGCTCTTTACACACAGGCAGAAGCTCACGATGCCCAGTCTGATGGCTGAGCAGTGGGACTGGCCCAAAGATGCCTCTGCAAGCGGAGGTTCCTGTTAGTTCCACAACTGGAACTAATCTTGCCCTTTCTGCTACGTGTTCCCAGCTGGCCCTTGAGGCTCCTTGGCCAGCTGCCTTCCCACCCTCTGTGCAGAGCATTTGCCACAGCTGAGCCTCTCTCTTGATCCAGGGCCACAAAGTCTCCCACAGCTTCTCGAGTCCAATATTGGATTTCTGAGTCTTACCACAGGCTCCTTTGTAAGTCTACTTTTAAGTATGACCTTTATATCTTGCCATATTGCTACAAAGAATAATATTGGTTATAATTTGACTTTACACTTACTAGATTATCTGACATTTTAGAAACAGACTTTTTATATAAGTACAACCAGCAATTTAAAAAATATCAGTGTAATCTGGTGACTCAAGTGCTTGGTTCAAAGCACACTGGGCAGAGGCAATCTCTTTGTACCACATGGTGGCTTTGCCATCTTATTATTGCCTTGGGTCTCTCATCGAGGTTTGATTTCCAAGGCTAGATTGAGAAGGTCATTTGTAGTCTCAGTCTTACAGCACTAGATAATACTGACATGCAGTTGATTGATTTAAAATCAAAAATATGATAGTGGTTCTTGTTGGTGATCTATATATCTGTGGAGGATTATGATGGCCATTGCTTCCAACTAAGTACAACTCAAGAAGTACCTTACAGATATGCCATCAGTATTTCCTTGCTTCTTTTATGGTAATTAGAGGGAACATAATTTAATGGATGTAACAGTGGTTTATTGGAATAATGTAATCTCAGTAGATACATAGATCGAATAAAACACTTTAGGATTCTTCTTTTATTATGTATTTCCTCATCCCTTTGTTATCACTCCAGTGAAAAGTAAATATAAAGATCAAATTTATGCCTAATACAACTGGGTATAAATCTGAGTAAGTGCTTTCAACTCCACCCAAGTATAAAGAACAAAAAGGGGGAAAAAAACTAATCAGTATTGCCTCAGTTTTGCCAGTATAGAAGTTATACTGCTAAAATTAAACTAGTTGTGAAGGTAAGTATTGGAGCTACACTGCAAACCCCTTTAAAACCTTCATTAACTACAAGAACCTTAATACATACTCTAATAGATACATAAAAATACATTTTCCCTCAAAAATAATAAATACAAAAATAAGTACTGCTATCAGATAATGAAGATTTGAATATACGTAACCCAGGATAGCTTAAAGTGCCCTGGCTTGTTGCATTCTCAAGTCTTAAAAGAATCAATTATTCCAAAAATGTATTTATCTTCTTCCCTGGCAAACATGGAGCTAAAAAAAAATCTTTGAAAATAAAAACACAAAAACCTTTGGGAAAGCAAGTTCTCAGAAGTGTAGATCCCTTTACCTAGAGCAGGACAGGTTGCTGTGTCCTTTAACTTGTGGGGAAGGTGCCCCGGTGCCCTGCCCTGCTGCAGGACCAGCGTGCCAGCCTGCCGTGGGACCTCAGAGCTGGCCACACACACAGCGGCTTCTCCACTACTTAGAACATGTTCTTGCTTATGCTCCAGTTACTGACAAATAGCTTCTGTAGTAACAGGAATTGCGCATTTAATAGGCTGTGGGTTTTTCTGTCTTCACAACTTGTAAATCTGCCTCCTCCTCCTCCTCCCCCGTCAATAAACTTAATCTCGCCGAGACACGAAGTAGTGACCAGAACAAGTGCGTAGCTAGCACACCGAGAGGCTCATGCACTGACACCTCCGTGCTCCTGGGCACGCATTTGCTCCCCCGAAACGAACCGAAGCCCGGGCAGGAAGGGTGCGCCAGCCTGGCGATGGAGGCGACCCTGAAGGCGTTCATCTCCCTTCTACAGAAACACCGTACTGGGGTGAGTAGGTGCAAGAAAAGAGAATAGTAATTTCCTTTATTCCAAACCAAAGTTGCAGACAGTTTAACCCCAGACGCTCCAGGTTTTTCCTGCCCGTCCAGCCCGGCACCCGGGCTGCGCCCGCAGCGGGTTTCAGGGTGCCCAACTTCAGGGTTCTGCCGTCCCTGAGGGCTCCCCGCCGCCGGCTGCCCCGGCCTCTCCCGACCCCCGACCGACGGCTTCGGCGCAGGAGCCCCGGGGAGCGGGGCCGGGCTCTGCGGGACTGAGGCTGCTCCCGCCGCCGCGGCTGCCCCAGCCCAGCCCAGCCCGGGCGGAGCCTCCGGGGGCGCCGCGCTCCGGGACAGCCGCACCGGGCAGGGCGGCGGCGGGAGCGGCCCCGGGAGGGCTGCCCGGCACGAGTATCGGCGGCGTCCTGAGCGGGGTTACGAGGGGTCACTGTCCCGGGAGGAAAGCCCTCCCTCCCTGCATGCCCGGCGGGGTAACCGGAGCTCCCGAGCCAGCCCCGCCTGGAAGTTGGAGAGCTCTGCCGTGTCCCCTCGAGAGAGCAGCGCGACACGCTGCGCAGCGCTGCTCCTCGCCGGGCTCTGTCTGAAGTGGGACCCTTCGTTGGGTGTCTCAGGCTGGGGTTTGTACCTTAGGACAGCGGGGTTTCTGATTCTGCCCGGGCGCTGCCGCTCATTGACAGAAGAGCTGGCTCGGGGAGTATCTCTACTTGTCACAAATCCACCTCGGGATCCGGGGATTTCTTCCTCCGGCTGGAGGTTTGCCTCGTAGGCTGGCGTTATTTGATTCTTCTCCCTCTCCATCAACTAATGGTAAGAGCAGATGAACCCTGAAATCGCATTTGCAGTTGCTCCTTTCCGAAGATAGAACGAACAACACAAAGCACTTCCCTTCCCCAAACTACAAATTCTTTTTGCCAAACATATGTTTCCAAACTCTAATATTTTGTCACATTTTCTTCATCTGTTCTATAAATTTTTGTGTACCTTTAGACTGTCAATCACTTTATGGTCAAATATTTTATGTAGCAAATCTCTTGTAACACAGAATCACAGACTACCTGATAGTGTTACAGAGATGTCATTGATGGAACCCGGGTTCCAGAACTAGGGCTTCTTGCTAAATTTGTTGTTTAATGGGAATATGATTTTACATATGCAAGTTTAAATGTCTTCACTGACCACAGCAAAACAAGGGATTGTTTCCACTTTTGCAGAATTGGCCCTGTACAGGCTTTCCACAAAGTTCCATGTGGTGCCAAATAATAAAGTAGCTTACAATATCAAGTTTTAAAGAAATGCCTTTCCTGCAAAATAGTAAGTACATTGCAAGTCCTCTAGTGAAACAGAAGAAGACGGTACCTGTGGTCAGTTGTGCTTCCTGACACAAACTTTGCCTTCACAGATATCTTAAAGCTCTTATGACACAAGTTGAGAGCAGATAGTTTATTAAGGATTCAAGAAAAGCATTAATTGAAGCTATGTCTGATCTTTTTATTAAGTGTGTGGGTTCTTCAGAAAGGAGATTTTATTTTGTCCTTTTAGCGTGTTCCCCTGCTTTTCCAAGAAGAGCTCTGGTCAGTGTCTCCAGATGGTGGCACAGCCTGTGTTTGTGTGTTTGGAGTCATGGCTCATGGCACATCTCCATAAGCCAGCTGTGCGTGCAGGTATGGTGTGGTGAACCAAGCCTCTTCTTTGGGAAATGAAGCTCCTGTCAGGTGGTTGGTTTCATGGGAATACATTCCCATTGAAAGGCACTACTGCACCATACAAACTCGTTTAAGCGGAATTCCGCAGAGTTCAGCTGCAGTTCATTAACCCACTTTTAAAGCACTTGTGAAATGTGCCTTGTGGCTGCTTTCCCCACTATTAATTTAAAAGTTGAACTGGAGAGAAGCTTGAACTTGTACTTTCTTTCATGTTTTCTTCTAAAACATAAGAAAACAGACAACCTGAATTGTTTTTTTTTTTTGTTAATGCCATTCAAGAGCCTTGCTCAAATTTATTCAAGTGCAGGTGATCTCAAAAAAAAGTCTGACTGCCATTCCATGTTCATGTTTCTAGAAGCAAAACAACTTTAAAAAGTGAGAGAGGGGATTATACTTCTTAGTTTGGTGGGAATACCACATCTACTTATGGTTCATTAATTCTGATTCAAATTGAAATAAATATGGGTTTTTTTTCATTTCGGCTACTGTCTAGATAATAAAATAGCATCTTCAACATTGGCTTTGCAACCACAGAGGGTTGCATTGTATATTTTACAGTGATAAATGAGGAATTGTTGAAGTAATGGAAGTTGTGTATAGTTAGCTGGTCTTTAAATAACTAAAGATTAAATAATACCAGCTTCATTGTATGCAGTGCTCCTAATGAGCCTTAAACTGTTCTTTCTGTATTATTGTGGGGTTTCTTCTTCTTTCAAGACCTCCCTGTGCCCATCTTTTTTCCACTTCCTAAAAAGATTAGTAGGAATTCAAGCAAATTGTAGGCAGAATCAGGCTTTCCCAGCTGCACCCAAACAAGCTCAAGGAGTGGAAAGTCTCATGAAACATCTCCTGTTGAAGAGCTGTGCTTTGGAGACAGCAGCTCTGCATCTGCTGCAGCAGGGGCATGGGAGACAGACCTAGCTTGGTGAGGAGGACAAGCAGTCGCTGGCCTGGTGCCATTTGGTGATTTCTTGGTGTGGAGTTGACTCCATGTAGAGGTGGCATTGGGGTATCCCCAGGGCTGGGCAGCAGCTGGCTGAAGGGGCTGCTTGGTTGAACAACCTTAAGTATGGTAGCCAAAATTCTGCCTGAGCAGAGCAGGGCTTTGGCCCTGGAAAGTCCTGCCTGGCTGGTGGTCATGTCTCAGAGCTGCCCTGAAGGCAGTGAAGCACCACTGGTGGCTGCACACGTCCCAGCTGCCTGTTTTGCAGCTCTGAGCATTCCCAGAAGGATTATTGTCTGGGGAGGTATCACATCACATGGATGATCTCAGTGTGGTGGGTCCAGTTTGGGAATTGCAGCCCAGGCAGGTACTGGCTGGACTAGGAAGAGTGTGATCTGACTCTTCCTAAGGCCTGAGACACTTTATCTTCCATGTGACAGCCTCTGCTCAGAGCACTGGTCCAGTGGGTGAGGCAGCCATGAGGCATGAATGGGACACGGGATGCCTGCCTCAAGCCCGGTGAGTGCTAATCCATCTTCTCTCCTCCCGTGAGCCTGCTCCCAGTGACTCATTTTGACTCGTGTGGGTGGGTCACTTGCTGCCCTTCTTGTTGCAGCTGTGATGTTGTGCAGGAGGGACACAGAACTGCACTGCAGTCCCTCTTCACTCTGCCATGAGTGCCAATTCACTTTGCTCACCCAGAGAGTAGGATCCTGAGGCTTGGTTGCTCAGGTTGCAAAAAGGCTCCATGGTAAAGCATTCACATCCCTTTCTTTGAAAACCATTCACAGGAAGAGATGCTGGCTCCACAGAGATGAAAATTTCATCTATAATGTCTACAGGAGGAATAATTTCAGAGATACACCTGTCTTCAGTTTTTTTTCTGTTGTCTAAAGTAGCTCTTAGTTGGTATCTCAGATAGGCTTCTGGATTTCTCTGGGAAGACCGGCTCCAAAGCTTTCTAGCTGTATACAACTTTTTTGCATCAAGTAACTCAAGACAAAAAAGTCCAGGAGACATTGTTGCAATCATCTAATGTGATTTCCTGTAGCATAAAAAAATAAAATTGTAGTAAATATTTTTTTTTTAGTAATAGTATACCCAGATTTATTTTAGGGACCAGATAACATCTTAACTTCTTTAATTCCTAGCAAAGGAAATCCTTAAAGCTATCCTTCTAATTAATTACCTTCGCTATATATGCTTGTGTGTCTTTGAAATCTGAATATATCTAGTGACTTTTATAGTGACTGATTATCTTGATACTATTGTCTTTTAAATTGGGTAGTCCTTTTCTTCCTCACCTTCCTTCCCCCTTCCTGCAGGCTGCATTTTGTTGGGGAAACCTTGTGTTTTCCAGTATTGTAATTACAGCTTTCTCTAGGATATAGTCTCAAAAAGTTTAAGTACTGTAACTTTTGTTGTTGGTTACTGTCCTTATTGCTGCATGCATGTTCCCAGCCTGAAGTGGGCCCAGGAACAGTTGATCACTGAAAATGGCTGGTTTACTGTTGGGATTCTGAAGTTGAGATGACCCTGAGGTAGTAAAAAGTCTTTTTTCTCCCAGCCCCCAACCAAAGAAGAAATCGAGATTCATCGGTTCTGCTTAACAAGGGTGTTTATTCTTCCTTATCTAGTACATTCTTTCCCTGACCAGCTGAGATCTGTCCAGCTGACTGCCTTTGGGGTGGTGTTAACATTTTATACTAAGAACTACGTCTACTTTATTTACAATAATTTTCCAATACCTATCACCTGTGTTAGACAGTCTGTCTCTATTCTAAACCAATCAAGAAGTGCCACCATCACAGCAGAAGATGGAGGACAAGAAGAAGGAGAAGAAAGGACAGGACATGCCCAAATTCTTCCATCTTGCCTCTTGAACCCCCATTCTAAATCCCCCAAAATTCTACTTTTTCCCCCTGTGACAAATTAACTATCATTCTACTCAAACTCTTGTGGCTTTTAAATCTTCCCACAAAGTTGGTAGTTTTTTCCATGGGCTAAAATTAAAGGCACAGGGGTTTTTGACTCCATTCCAAGGTCTCTGAACCCCTTGCCATGGTCTCGAGTCATCCAGGGCAGTCAGAGGACTGTCCTGGGTTCCAGCAGTTTACTTGCCCATACTTGCCTGGAGGCACCTAGCCACAGCTCTGTGTAGGTGCAGAGCTCCTCTGTGCCCCGAGTTAGATGCTGCATTGCAATTAAGAGTTTGGTTCTCTTGGTCCCTGGGGTATCTAGCCCCCCTGCAGAAGGAAAGTAGCTTGGGGAAAGTATGCAGCATAAACAGGGATTGGGAGCTATAGGTATCAATAGGGACCACAGAGGGGATTCCAGGGATGTAGGGCAGTGGAGGGAAGGGGTATCTCAATTGACATATGCCTTTACATTGCATGTGAAACTACTTAATGAAATTAAGGAGTGGTTTCTTTTTATAATCTAAATTATGTTAGACCAGATGTAATTTGTGAGCCTAGAGGAGCTGCTTGGAGCTCATCCCTCTGGAAGTGGGGGTGTCTAGGCCGAGGACTCCCCCTGGCAGGAGGGACTGCCTTGCCCCTGGTGGAGTTGCTGGAGTGTCAAGCCAGGCTGTGACTCCTAGCTCATATATAAACATACACACTGTAGTGTGCTAAATCCATCATAATCTCATTTTGTGCTAGGAAGTGAAAATGCTGTAAAGGAAAACCTTTCCTTTGCTTCCAGACCTGTAGCAAACAATTCACCCAGGCTGGTTACATGATTAGCATGTACAGCTCTATAGGCTGTCCACATGTGCACTGTCAAAGTACTGGGGGCTTTCTTTCGGAGCACTTGGGATAAGGCAGCTGAAGAATGGACTGTTCAAGCTCTCAATAGCTTTACTTTTGACTTAATTAAAAAAGACCAATGAGAGAACTGCTGGTGACCTCAGGGCTTTTAGGGTTTCTTTTTTGCAGGAATTGTTGTGATCCAGACACAGTAACTAACACTCAGAGCTTCTCAGAGTTGAATTTGAATCATCAGTGACAAAAATGGGATAAAGTACATGGTTCTTGAGCAAATTAAAAAGGTACATAATAGGTAATTCTTTGTGTGAATACTGCAGTGTAGGGGGGAAGCACCCATTTGAGGAGGGGGAAGGTTGTAATGTGCATTTTGTACAATGCAAATTCTTTCTGTTTTGACTGGTTCAGTGTACTGTTTATATGAAATTTTAAGTTGCCAGCAGGTATTTCTTTGGTAGCATATAAGTGAAATACTTCATTTTCTTCTTTGAAACTCCTGCAAACTCTGTGATTTCAACACTTTCTGATGGCAACTTAGTCCTGTCAGGACTGCTGCTTATTTTAAAGAAGTCCATGCCACTGTATATTGCTCACTTCTCTAGCCTGTGCTGATTTTTCGCATCACTTCATCTGCTCGTGCTGGGGAAGGTGGGATGTGTGGTGGGGCAAGACACTCTGAAGCATGTCAGTAATTCAGGCTGTGCTGGCAGGGCACATCTCCTTCCTGAGCTGGGAGGACTCATCTTGCATGCAGCTGGGGTTTTGGCAGCCTACAGATGTCAGTGTGTGTCATTCTGGTTATGGCAGGAGTGTGCCATGCATGGTGATCCTTCTCCATGGGCAGGGGATGGAGTGGAAAGTGCTCAATGTTTGCTTGGGAAGACACAGTTCTTCACCTTTATCAGCCAAGGCACATATATTAAATGCACTTTCCTGCTTGCTGGATCATCACCAGCAGATGAACTTGTAGCAATAGCTGTTCTCCCCAGCCAGGGCAGTCGAAACAGGACATCAAACAAAGCAGAAGGCCAAAGCACCTCAGTGACAGGATGGTGTCCCCTCCAGGTGCTTACAAATGGTAATGTTGTCTGCTGTGGAGGATGACTCAGTTGGTATCACAGCTGCTGGTTTTTTTTGGTTTGGGGGATTTTTCTCCCCCACAACCTCACTTGCAATAGGTGAATGGTTTAATTAGAGTTTAAATTTTGGACTTGCAGAGTCTATAAAGAAAAATGTGAAAGGCCTCATCTAGCACTAAATACCCTTCAAAACTGGAAATTTTACTATACTTTGGCCCGTACCTATTATTGCCTCTGCTCTATTTACAACTGCCAATGATTTTCAGCTCCCAAACATTAGAATAATTTCTTATTTGAGAAGAACTGCATCCTCTCTTTCTGCCTGCAGTTCGCTGGTAGCAAGCATGCCTGCTCTTCACCATAGCTCTGAGGAATGGTTCCCATTTAGGAGTGGGTTTTGTCAGTATTTCCAGAGGGTTTGGTTTTTCCTGCACACCTTGTGTAGCTCAGGAGAGTGTTGTGTTGGTAAGGCTGTGCTTTGGACTAGCACTGGCCTCCCTCCTTTGCCCTTCCTCTTGCCTGGAAGGAGAGAAGCCCTCTCCAGTGTGGGAGATGCTGCAGCACAGTAGAAGTTCTCATTATGTAAAACTAATGGAATAAGTGGGAATTTTCCACACAGTGGTTTTGGAAGACAGGTCCCATTCTGAAAATAGACAGTTACAAATGCAGAACAGTTTTCTCAAGAGTTTGTTTTTGTGTATGATGAGCCTATATCCATGTCCTAGTGGTACACTGCTCTTTCCAAATTATTTTGGCCCATCTTGTCATGAATAAATGCTTTACAGAAATGCTGTGAGCTGTAGTGTGGGCAGACTGAGAAAGCAATATGTGAATTAAAAATTGTGCATACATTCTGTGAAATTACTATTATGTTGTGTCAAATTATTGTAATATGTGACATTGCATGATGAAAAGATGTTGGTAATGTAAAACAAATTGCTGCTCCACCATGGTTTTGTTTGTGGCATGCATACAGTTTCCAGTGTATCTCCTCAGTCATGATTCCCTTCAAAACACTGATTTTTATTGTTTTCTTTTGGAAATTAGGGTCTTCAGTAAGACTGCTTAGAGCAAAATGTTGGCAGAAGAGTAGAAGTATTAACAATAATCCAAAATCACTGTTATCAGTGATTCTGTTTTAAACAAACAATCAGTCAAACAAAAAACTTCTGTCACTGATTTCTGACTGTGTGATGGAAATACTGACTGGATTCAGAACACAAGGTCTGGAAACTGCGTGTTCCAGTTTTATTTTCTTTTGATTCAAAAATCTTACCTCTTGATCACAGAAGCACCACCTAAAATTCCTCATGACCTTACCATACCTAGGTAACTTCTTTCTATCTGGTGCAGCTTCCATCTCCCAGTCTCCAAGGGATAAATCCTACATCTGAGCGGAACCCTGTACCAGAGGAGAGTATTTGGATAAAGAAACAAACCACAAAGGTTTTAGTTGTAAACTACCTTATTCTTGTAATGCTGGTTCTTACACTGCAGGAGGATTTTGAGCATTGTAATTTAGAGAGATTCTGTGCTCTTTAGCTGTGGTATTTTTATGGGCCAGTGACTTTCCTATCACCACTCCCAGAGAGGGAGAGTCTCCTCCTAACTTGTTCTTCTGAGCTCTGCTGCTCAGTTGTGTGGGACTTTATGTCTTTATTTGGCAGCGGTGTTATTCAATCATAGAATTAATGTTGGGGTTTGAATAAACTTTAGAAAAGTAATGCTGTGGTGGTTAGGAAATACAATACAAATTTTCTTTATTAATTTCTTAGACCTGTCACTGTAAAAGGAGCACCACTGAAAGCCCTGATGAATGATGTTGGGTGCTTCACTGCAACAGCAGTGTTTTTAAAGTATTGACTTCTGTGGCTCTTGTGAGGGGAAAAAAAACCAAACTACTTTGATATTCTAGAGAATCTGATAATTTTGATAACAAGACAGTTCTTAGTTTCCTTGCTGTTCTACCAGGAAAAGAACCAGACAGTAAGGCTTTGGAAGGTTTCAATACTGATTACACCATTAATATAATTCAGGCTTTGCAATTTCTACTGTGTATAATCTCACATTGAAGTATGTGTTTTTATTTTAAAAGCCAGATATGGAAAGCTGGTTTTGATTTTTTGTTTTTAGATTTATTTTGGAGTTTCTTTCATACTTCTTAGTTCTGTGTTTTCCTTTGAAAACTCTGAGGAATACATCACCAAATGAAAATTAATAGCATGTTTCACATTTTGAAGTGTTGAACAATAAAATTATGTGGTCCATGGCATGACATTCTGTGATGTAGAACTTTGAATGTTGTCAGATTGCTTTGTAAACGTCCCCTGAGTCGTATTTTGCAGGACTACTTACTTCATGTTCTAATAACATAATCTGTATCAAATGCCTTTAAGCTTTGTAGCCTTCCCTATATATGATGGAGGTTTTTGCCTGTTGTCCTTGGAGTAGAAAAGACCATACCTTCCCTATATATGATGGGATATATTTTGCCTGTTGTCCTTGGAGTAGAAAAGACCATCCCCTGTGACACTTGGGTTTCCCTTGTTGTGGTGTTTGGGGATGGAGTTTGTTGTCCCCAGAAACAGAGAGCAGCTTTGCTCAGCCCATTAATGAGAATGATTTGACCGAAATCCAAAGAGAGATGGAGGAGGTGAACAAGGAAGAAGAGTTGACTGTCACTGCCTCTTCGTGTGCTGGGTAGGACATTTAAAAATGCTCTTAGGGAGGAGGGTCTGGATCAACAAATCCAACTATCTTGTCAGCAGCGAGGCTGTACAAAGGCTTGTCAGCAAGTGTTTTGAGTGCAACACACAGCTTTACATGGATTCAGTAGCAGTTCAATGTTTGCTACTCAGATCACAGATACAGAAAACAGGATATTCAGCTGAATTAATATTAAAGTTTGATCCTGGAATCACAGAGCTTCAAGGGTAATTGGATCGTAATGCAGTCTGTAGTTTTAGGAAATAAAACTTTGATAAAATTTAATTGATGAAAATAATTTTACAAGTAATTCATCTCTTCTTCACTTGTCCAGATCAGATGAAGCTGCAGATGACATGACCAAAGTCAAAACAATGCATGAACTGATGAGAAAGAGGACTGAGAACATTAGCTGCTTAGTTGCTGGAAATCCTAAATGCAACTTTACTACCGAGAGACCCTGATGTTATGTGATCACTGAACACAGTTTGCAAGAATGGAAAACCAAAGGAAAACCAAAACTAGTTGCATCTCATAAATAAAAATTTTCAAGATTCAGCTGAATCAAAAAATTATTCCAGCCATGGGAGAAAATGCAAGTTTTTGGGAAAGTTTGATATATGCACATCCTACGTGTACCACCTGGAAGCAACAAGCAGAGGGATCTATCTACCACCTCGCCAGTATTTTCTTTGTCGTGGGCTTCATGGGTGGAAGTGGATTCTTTGGGCTTCTCTATGTTTTCAGCTTGCTTGGACTGGGATTTCTCTGCTCTTCTGTTTGGGCTTGGCTGGATGTGTGTGCTGCTGATATATTCTCCTGGAATTTTGTCCTGTTCGCTATATGCTTTGTCCAGTTCGTTTACGTTACCTACCAAGTCCGGAGCGTTGCCTTTGACAGGGAATTCCAGGAACTCTACAGTGCTCTCTTCCAGCCTCTGGGAATTTCCTTGACTGTGTACAGGAAGATTGTCTTGTGCTGTGATGCAGAAGTGATTACCCTGGAGAAGGAACATTGTTATGCCATGCAGGGCAAAACACCTATTGACAAACTGTCCTTGCTTGTGTCAGGCAGGTTGGTATTGCTTTGTTCAGGTTTTCTGCAGATATCTTTATTTTCCTCTCCTTATTGAAAATGAAAGAAAAAAAGGAAAAAAGCCTGGTTTGGGTATTGTATGTTTATTTTCCAGAACAATAGATAAAATATTAATGGAAGGAATATAAATATTAATAGGTTAAATACACTTGTCTAGGATAGTGCTAGCATAAAAACACTAAGCACAGAATCTGAAATAGCATAAAGAAAAAAATTGAAGTAATTCTTTTCCAGGCTGCTATATCATATCATTTAACAGGTTAGGCAGATAAAGGGAATAAATGTGGAATTTCAGTGTTCAGGTTATGGCTTGCTGTCTATCTACTGCCTAGCTGATGAGCACAGCATATGTCCTATTTTTCTTTACTGGCATCATCTGAAATGGGACAAAAAGTTAGTTACAAAACTGAACATACTGAGATAAACTCTGTTTAATAGAGATCTTGACTGTGATATAGATTGTACTCGGTTGCTTTCAAGGGGGTGGGAGAAGGATATAGATAAGGAAGGGAAAAAGACTTAAAAGGCCTTTTCATTACGAGAGGATGTAGCTGAGCCTTATCAAGACTTGCAGACCTGGGTCTACAGTTGCTGTATACTGTGGCCTCGTGTTAGACCCTGAGGCAGTAAATCCACCTGCTTGTACTCCCTGCTTCCAGGAGAGCCTTCTGGCAGCCTTGCTGATGCTTTCCTGGAGGGAAACACTAGCTTTTGTACTGTATGCGGTGCAGCCCCAGACCACCATGAGAGTTGGTTGGACACCCAGAGGAGATGGGACACTTGGTGGGTGCTTTTTGCTGCATGGATAGATGGAACCTGTAGGCAGCTTGACACTCAGCTGATTTAGGACTACCTGCAATGAACAATATGAATTGTGGGCAGTTTTCCTTAGTGACACCCTGGTTCACAGAGTTCTTGGAGCTCTCTAGGAAGTACCTCCTGGAAATTGCTTACCAAAGGAGAGGTATCCATCCTTCTACATGCCCAGCCAGTTAGTGATCACCCAGAGTTCCTGCTGCCCTTCCCCATGGTGGTACAGGGCTGCTTTTGTGCCTTCAGATTTATATGTTATTTAAAAAGTAGCAAGGAAGTTTTTCTTTGGCATCTTCAGAAGGCCACAGCATTTACACAGAGATCCTGTTATGCCAGGCTGTTCTTCTGGCTGCAGACATAGTCCTGTGGCTATGTAATTCCTGTTAAACATGGAGAGAGGTCTACCTAACACATGCCATGGGGCACTCCTGCTTCCCACTCCCAGTTTTTCCATTTTGTTCTCTCTAAAATGAGTATTTGCCAAATCCCATGGTTTTCAGGAGAAGCAGATAAATGCTGTTATGGGCATTGGTCTTTCACCTCTCCAGTGCATGATGGCATTTTAATGGCAAAGCTTGTGCATCACTGCAGAGACCTACCTCAGAGAGGATAATGTGGTCTGAGTAAGGCCTGGAAAGATTTCCATTTCTGTTGCATGATTGTCTTGTATTCTCTTTCAACTGGCCTGAGCAAGTTGGGTTCAAAAATATAATTAGGATAATTATAATTGGCCATTGATTGCTTTTTCATGCTTTCAAAGCTATATTTAAATTCCTCAGACAGTAGAAATAGCACATTCTTGTGGTCATTGCTGGTGTACAGGTAGTGCTAACACATTAACACATCTTATCTTGGTAGGATCAGAGTGACAGTTGATGGGGAGTTTCTGCATTATATTTTTCCTCTTCAATTTCTGGACTCTCCTGAATGGGATTCACTGAGGCCCACAGAAGAGGGAATTTTTCAGGTAAAAGTTAAGGGGTTTCTTTTTTTTTTTTTTTTTTTTTTTAGTGCTAGAGGAAATTGTTCAAGCACTGTTTGATTTTTGATTTAGAAATAAATTTATTCAGTTGTGGGTTTTGTTTGTGATACTATGCAAACAAGTGGCATCCCATTAGTTTGGGAAGTCCTCTTTATCCATTGGACTGGTTTTGCTGTTTGTGTCTTGTTACAACAAACAGGGCTTTTCATAAAGCTGAGGTTGGCTCTGTTTGCATTCTCTGGCTGCGCTGATATTCAGCCCTGAGAAGCCGGGTTTCCTCGGGGTGGGAAGAAGCTGGTGCTGAAGAGGTTTCCCAGTGGGAGATGAGCCAGGGGAAGACGTGCCTGGGACACAGCTTGGCACGGGTTACAGCATGGGACACGGTGTCAGCTGCGGCTGCTGTCACTTGGCTGACACGCTGGGTCCTGCCTGTGTTGGATCTGATGTCTGCTGTCACGAGGACAATGGCATTTGTTGAGAGCTTTCTTTAGACCTGCCTTTTCAGCTGAGGCTGCCAAGAGCAGGGAATGCAGGGCTGAACCAGGGCATCCATGTGGCACTGAACAAGGCATGCCATATGGGCCCAGGCATATTGTCACTGAGGTTAACTAGATGTGATCACTTAGTCCATATCCAGTCACCTTTCTCATTTGTCTTTTGCATTCAGTAACCTGCCAGAGCTCTCTGGCTTGGTTAAAAGGCTCTGATTGCAGTAGACAGGTTCTGCTGGGAGAGGGGGGTGCGGCACCACCTTGTCACCCGGCTGCCCAATTCTCTCTGCTCTAGGTGACACTCACAGCAGAGACAGACTGTCGGTACGTGGCCTGGAGGAGAAAAAAGCTCTACCTGCTGTTCGCTAAGCACCGCTTCATCTCCCGCCTCTTCTCCATTCTCATTGGGAGCGACATCGCCGAGAAACTGTACGCCCTGAACGACAGGGTGCACGTGGGCCAGGGCTTCAGGTACGACATCCGCCTGCCCAACTTCTACCACGTTGCGCTGCCCGAGAGCCCTCCCGTGCAGGCCTCGCCGCGCTCCCGCCAGCTGCAGCGCGCCTCGCCGCGCCGCACGCCCGCCCCGGTCACCAACTGCGGCGCCTTCCTCGCACCCTCCTAGCCCGGAAAGCTCTGCTGCAGCCATTCCTCCAAGCCGTGGAGGGAAGTGGAAGGTGGCAGGGCAGAAGAGCAGAGAGACAAAAGCAGATGAAGCCAAATTTGACTGACAAGTGCCATTTATGTTAACTGGAGTAGGTTGGATTCTCTATCTCAAGCCAGCAGGTTGGCTTCTGCATTGTGACTGTCTGTGCAATATGTTTACTTTCTGTTCATACTCCTGTTGATCTTCATCTCTTTTGTTTTGGAGAACAAACCATAACAGTATGAGGTCTTATTGCAATTGTGGTGGCCTCTGTGGTGGCGTGTTGTTTTTTTTTGTTTTGTTGTTGTTTTTTTTTTTAAGCAAAGCCCATGGTAATTGTAATTATATTTTCCTCAAAAAAATTTTGTCAAAATGAAGTACAGTCAGAATAGTCAATGAAAACAACTAAGTTCTCTTCAGAATATGGCAACTGGCTTATAATGTTCTTTTTTATGCCATGTGGACATTCTCTCAATTTACATGATTAATGTTGCAGAAAAAAGACTAAGGAACGATTGCATTGGGTTTGTTTCTTAAAGAAATGAAAAATTTTGAAATGCACAACATTGTTAAAAACCCAAACAAAACAAAACAAAACATTCTGTCCCATGAGTAATTGGTTTCTCTCCGACTGTCCTTAAGAGGTATTACGTGAAAACAAACATAAGTGTAATTTCTGGCATTAGAAAAATAAAAGAGCTGTAACTGCTGCAAATACAGCTTAGGGAAATGGTTGTGTAGCATTTCTGATAGAATGTGATGCTATAGGACCTGGGCTTCCGCAGTGTCAGCGCCCTTCATGACATGTACAATAAATAATGTTAATCAATCTACTGCCAAACCATTGGAGTTTGATGTATAATATTCCTTTTAGCTATGTTTGTCAGGAAGAGACTGAAACAGCTGCAGCAATAAATACAATTTTTAACTGACGCATTCTTGTTTAGCTTCCAGAGTCACTTTTCCGTGCCTATGAAATTCTTGATTCAAAATATATTCTCTCCCTAATTCTGTGGTGTTTTATGACATAAGGGAGCCTCAGATTGCACTTCAGTAGGAGGGAGTTGGTTTTGACCCTCGGGGTCACTGTGCCTTTGAAGAGAAGTGTCCAAATGTCCTTGCTAACTCACCTTCCTGCTGCTCTGCCTGATGCCTGCCAGTAATCAAAAAGTAAGAAGCATTACTATTTTATGAGAATGGATTGCTGCTTGATATGTCTGGAAGTAGATAATATTTTTAATATTTTAAAATTGCTGGTTTGTTTGGTAGGACGACCCCTGTGTGCTTCTCTGTGTGGGTATACATATAAGTTTAGATCCTGCGAGTTGTTTCTGGAGGACTTAAAATGATGATACAATCTTACACTTGAAGGATAATCATGTATAAAATGTATAAAAAAGCTATTAGGAGTGATGTGAAACGCTACCTGTTTGAAGGACATTTAGTGCAGAGCAGATAAGATTGTACAAGTTTTGCTTTTAGCTTTATGTTGCTTCCTCAGAGAGGAAAAACAGCAAAACATAAATACCCCAGCATGCAATGTGATAATCCCCAAATCATTCTCATAACCCTTCCAGGCAATGTATTCTGTATGTACTGTTTAATGCATGAAGTCCCTGAGTCACAGAGCTACTTTGTCTTGGCCAAAAGAGAATTGGAAAAAATGCAAACAGTTCACTGATGGCTTTTAATGACCTGTTCAGATGAAGGCACAAAGTGCCAGAGGCTGGCAGCATGTTATAAGGATGCACATTTGTGTAACAGTCTACAAACATAAAAATATTTAAAATGCATAAAAGAGATCTTATTCTAGACTTGGGTGTAATAGAAATAATTTATTAATGTTCTCCTTGGTTTTCTTGAATATTTGGGTTTGGCCTATTTATTCGAGAACTTGTCTTTACTAAATTCTGACCTTGCTGAAGTTACTTAGCTTGATCATCTTCACCTTAAAATAAGACCAAGGAGTTTTACTCACCCAATTTCTACATCAAGCTTATATATTCTATTTAAATTGTAGCATACTGCTTAGAAAGATACTGGGAAATGATGGGTGCTTCATGCCATACTCTGATAATTTTTTTTTCTTTTTTTGTCACTGTTACATGCCTTAGTTTCTGTCACACACTTCCCAAACACAATCCTCTGTGATGCTTTTCTCTGCTGAAATTGGTTACTGTCAGAAATCTCTACCAGGACATGTCTGAGTCAATATCTGAACATACTCTTAGCTAATCTTGTTTAGGTGTTGCTACTGTGCTTTCTGGGCTTTGAGTCATTTTAAAAAAATTGTTTCTAGCTTTCCAGCATCTGTTTGAGACATGACTAGCAGAACATTTCAGCTGTAAAATTCAGCTGTAAAATAGATGTCTACAATAATATAAGTACACACAAAAGGGCTGGAAGCAAGACAGAAGTTCGCTCTACCTGTGTTTTTATTTTAATCTGGACAGTACTTTTAAAACATACAGTGAAATACACTCTGGAATGTGACTCATAAACCAGTGTTTTGGGAGGGCTATATAAAATACCTAAATGAAGATATATTCAGAATGATGACAGCAAAATTAGACAAGTTTTGTGAGATCATAAACACCCAGGTATTAGAGAGTTGGGGTTGCTCAGCCTGGAGAAGAGAAGGCTCCAGGTGACATTATATTGCAGCCTTTCAGTACGTAAAGGGCCTGCAAGGAAGATGAGGATAGACTTTTTATAGCAGAGCTATTGTGATTGGACAGGGAGTAATGGCTTTAAATTCATTAATATGTTTAGTGATATATTTAGATATAAGGAGGAATTTTATTATGATTATGAGTGTGATGAAAGACTGAAACAGGCTGTCTAGAGAGTTGGTGGATGTCTGGTCCTTGGGAACATTCAAATTGGATGGTGCTCTGGGCAACTTGATCTGTTTGAAGATATCCTCACTTATTCAAGGGGATTGGGCAAGATGTCCTTTAAAGGTCCCTTCCAACCCAGAGCATTCTATGTTCTAGGATTATTTATAGGTTAATAAACATTTGGAACTAGATGAAGTTCTGACTTGAGCATCATCCAATTTATGCCCGTGTTACAGCTCAGAAATAACTGTTAGTGAGGAGATCAGATTCCTTCACAATTGGTTTAAACAAGTGGATACTTAGTCCATGCTGCTGTCAGTGAGTCCTTTTCTTGATCCTGCAGTGATTCCCCTTTACTCTCATTTTACATTTTTACCAGTTCCATAACATTCTGTGGAGTTGTGTCTACATTTATATGCTGCTATGGTAAGAGTTATGATGTGGTCATTCATCAGATGATTTTTATAATTTTTTGTAATTATATGGACATCATGTTGGAATTGCCCTCACAGCCTGCAGAACCGTTCAAATTTTCTGCATAAGGTAAGAAACTGTATGGCCTAGGACAGTCCAAAACAGAGGGGAAGGAGGAGTAGAGGAAGAGACAACAAAAGTTCATACAAATTTTATCCGAGAGAGGTTTATTTCGAATTGGACTTCTGGCAAATTAGTTTGTTGGGTGCAGCAATATGTAGTTAGAGCTTCAAAACAAGTCTTGCCAACTAAAGAGCATGGGACTGACCTTTCAATTCTTTCATTTTGTAGTATTTTTTTTAACTACTAATAGTGTAAGTACAGGTAACAGGTTCCATCATGAAACTACACTCAAAACTACAGAAACTATGGAATAACCTGAGAGGATACAGCCCAATGTACTGTTGTAGCTAATACACTATGCAAGGTAAATTTTAAGTGTTTAAAGAAACAGGTTCTTTTATTCAGCTGCCTGTGATAACAGAGGCTGTGCTTTGTGGCTGAGCAGGGCCACCCAGGATCTATGTTTTCAGGAACTATTTTCTTTGCAACAAAGCAAATTATACATACAGAGATATGAGCTCCCCAGGATTAAACTGGGGAAGCTGAATACAAGTTTGGATGATACTGCACAGATTTGCCATACCACAAAAAAGACATATGCTTGTACTAATTAAATAATATGTTGATGCTACATTTACAGGGAAAAAGTGCTCTACAGATTTTGCTTATTGTGAGTGATAAAGATATATAAGATATATTTGGTCTCAATGTACATGAAGTATTAAAACACAATATTGTGTTGTTCATATGAGCTGATATTGCAAACCATGTGTTAAAAGTAAAACAAATCTGCAGCTCTTTATATAGAAGAAAACTATTTAAATAGGAAATGAAAAAATTATTATCTATTTGTTGAATTCAGACATGATCAGAGTAATATTTTTCTTTCTATTCCTGTAATAATTAAATGCATATTTTTCCTCCATAGCTGTTACTGCATAACAGATTTTTTTACTATACAACAGAATAAATACCATATTAAACTGATTTCTTAATCCCTCTTGAAAATGCTTACTTTAATATGCATCAAAATATAATAGGTTCAGGGCTCATAAGAAAAAACACCCTTTCTTTCTGTTTGTCTGGTTCAGATTAACTTTCCTTTCTTTTAGACTTTTTTATCCCATCAGTTTCTACTTGCTGTAATTCTGCTTCTGTGGGAAATTAATCCCTCTTGAAAATGCTTACTTTATTTACATTAATATGCATCAAAATATAATAGGTTCAGGGCTCATAAGAAAAAACACCCTTTCTTTCCGTTTGTCTAATTCAGATTAACTTTCCTTTCTTTTACACTTTTTTATCCCATCAGTTTCTACTTGCTGTAATTCTGCTTCTGTGGGAATCAAAAGATGTATTGAACTTGACATGTAAATCAAGCCACCTCATGCTGATGAATCAAACCATGTAGGTGGAGCTTCATCAGCAGGAGTGTGTAGGAGAAAAGCAGCACAAGCATGTCATCACTCAGCTCTAGATTTGGGGTCGTGTCCCAAACCATGGCTAGCAATGCCATCCTAGAGGGTCACATGGCAGAGGGTTCTGCCAGCAAAGGGTTTGGACACAAATCATCTTTCTAGAAGCTACAAATGTTGTTAAACTTTGCTCTGCAATAGAAAAAATAGAAAAAAGAAAAAAAAAGGGTCTTTCTCAAAACCTTGTGAGAGCAGAAGGATTTTATAGTAGTTATTCTTCTGCTGTGGATTCACAGGCAGTATTTTTAAAGTTGTCAGTTGAACTGCATCTCCTAATTTGAGGGATCAGTGGTGTATTGTAGGAACAGGACTATTTCACTACCTGAGTGGGGTTTTGAAGACAAATGGTGATAAAAGATAGATGACCAAGAACTAAGACATCAAAGTCATATAAATAATCAACTGCAATAAAATAATGGTGATAAATAACTATTTCAGCAGCACATCCCATACGTTTATTGTATCCACTAGTGACTCTCCACCTAAACTTGTCTAAATTTGGGGGATATAATAATTTTCTAGGAGTAGAAGGGACATTAGGCCAAGAAAGACATGGAGGCAAAAATCCCATCTAATGGATAAATGCTCTAACCATGTAACTGTACAGAAGTGGGCAGCACCCTCCCCTTCTACAGAAACTGAACCTCACAGGCAAGCATCAGAGCATCTCAGGTCTGTGAAAGGAGGTGAGCAGGTGCCTGTCTCCAGGCAGGGATTCTGTGGGGTGATCCCAAGCAGCCTGCAGAAGTCTGGGCTCAGTGGGGATGAAGCACACACATCTCTTTAATATTTCCCTGTGTGGGTTTTAGGAAGAGTGTAGGACAATCCAGATACTCAGTGCTGCACTTGGACTTCCTGTGTCCAGCTGTAGGACAGGGGTGGGATACTGGCAGATGAGAGTTGGGATGAGTTTAAAACACATTAGATATGACCCTCTATCTTCCCAAAAAGTGAGGCGAGCTAGTTCACATCTGCCAGTATACCCAAGAATGGGTATCAGCAGTTCCAATAAAACAGCTGCTGTGCAGGAATTCCTTGCTGCTGTGCTTTGGTCATCTAACTCTCTCACATTGAAATCTTTAATGCTTTTATGGAATCCAGCTGTTCTATTATACTAAAACATAAAATATCTTGAATACTTATTTTGAATATGAAGCAAAATTGTCCTGTTTTCATTTACAGAAAAGTTGAGTCCTTTCAAGCAGATCTCACTAGTGAGGGAATGAAATGCTTCTTAAAAACAGTCAGATATCCAGCACTCTGCTCTATTTATCACTGGGTCTCCATTTTATTGTTCAATTACAGCTTTTCAAAAAGATGGAGTTCTTACAGGAAATATATTCATTATTAAAAGAATTAATGAGTAAGTGTTCATAGAAAAAAATACAGGAAATACTGATACATAAAACATTTTTACATTGGTTTTGATTTTACAAATTGTTAGTATCTTTTTGTTAACTATATTGATTGCCATTTTAGTTCCAAATGTGCTTTTTACAGTGGTCTATGTACATGCAAAAGCAATAATCACATATACATGTATGTTTATTACAGTCTGTATCCGTGCTTTTAACCCTATATAATAGGGTTTTGTTAGTTTATTTTTTCTTTACAGAACAAAGTATAATAAACATCATTCAGAAGACTGGTCTTATTTATTTATTGAAATTAGAAGAAAATATATATATTTTTAAAAAAATCTGTGTTTGCCTTTACTCTTAAAGATCAGGGTAGTAAGGAACAGTTGTGGCATGCTCTAACTCAGCACATGTTGACATTCCTTTACAATATGCACAGTTTATTAAATTAAAAAAAATTATCTCTTTCCATTTCAAAGTTCTTTTGAGCTAATGTGTTTACCTTTTCTGTCCCCTCACTGTGGAGTATCTTCACTATCAAATCATGTATGCTTTCTCTGCACTTGTTAAAGTAATTCCTTAGACACATGCTTAGCCTCCCCCTACTTATTTTTTGTTCTCCTTCCTCAAGTTTTTAAGTTAGGTTTTTTGATTTTATTTTTCAGTTCTGTCTGTCCTGAGATGTTAAACACTTGTTATTTAGTTCTTTTTCAAATCTTTACATAAATTTCTTAATCCTTATCAATAATTTTTAAAAATCCTATAAAATTATAGTGATGCAAATATGCAACACCCTGAAGGTTCAGTCCTATCCTTTGCTTCTCAAAAACAGCCATGGTAAATATTAAAATGCACAGCTAAAAAACATTAATTGCTGTAGCAAAACATTAATTGTCACTGTACCAACACCCAAAAGCATTTGTACTCTGACAATATCTGTGATTGCTTTGTCTATACAGACAGTCACACAGACTTATACAAATTCATAGGAATCTTTGCAGAGATAATGTTGAGAGCTGCAGTTGAGTATCTGTGATCGCTTTGGTCTATACAGACAGTCACTTATACAAATTCATAGGAATCTTTGCAGAGACAATGTTGAGAGCTGCAGCTGAAATGCATTTACTTCAGGTTTAGCACAGACATCTCTCCATGATTGTTTTGAACTTTATTAGTGCGTGTAAGTTGTCCAGAAAGGGAACAGAAAAATCGCAGCCAGTTCACCCAGTGCTGCCAGACCTGCTGTAGTGGGGACCCCTAAAAATGGGCTGTCCCCCAGGGAGGGGACAGATGCAATGCAAAAGCATGGCTCCAACTTGTCTTCCAGTTTTGTGTGAAGTAAGAGCTGCCTCACGTTAGCAGAGAGCAATGTGTTGATAACTGTTTGAGTTCCAGGGAAGCTGGAACTTCCAGTCAGACTCCATATTTGGTACTCCTCTGTTTGCAGAAAGGAGCAAATCCCTTGGCGATAACTGTTTGAGTTCCAGGGAAGCAGTGTGGTCAGACTCCATATTTGGTACTCCTCTGTTTGCAGAAAGGAGCAAATCCCTTGGGACAGGTTCCCATTATTCCCCAGTGCTGTTAGCAAGCTGTCCTGGCAGGGCAGTGACAAACGTGCCATGGCTCTGCTTTAGGAAATCCAACCCATTTTGTATCAGCTCTCCTGGTTTTTCGGGGGAATCATGTGATTTAGGTAGAGCCAGAGCAAACATAGCAGGCCCTTCTATCAAGTCCCAGAAAAATCACTTGCAAGCAATTAATAGAAACTGTTCACTGAGCAATTTCAAATAATGAACAAACCAAATAAAGTGTCAGCAGGGAGCTGCTCGTGCATAATTTGAGAATGGGGATAATTGTTCAGTGTGATTGAATAAATTGTTTACTGCACACAGTTTAGATAACTTTAATGGCAATCAATTTTACTCTGTCCTTATACCTCAGGATCATGTACCCTTTAGATAAACATCTACGTCAACCATCTGTTAAACTTTGAATACTTTGACTGATTATTTTAGAAAAAAAGTTGCCTCCTGGCTCTAAGCTGGCAAGAATCAGTTATTATACCTATACTATAACTATACTATACTATCAGTCAGATACCTGGAAGGAAGCCCTGGGATGTGGTGTTTTATATCTTGGATTCAAACAAAAAGAATACAAGCCTCCTTGTATTAACACCCTTCCTGCAGTTCTTGCATTGGAAGAATTGCCTGACTATACATCAGAAAGTGTCTGTCAGAGGGCCTGAGGTAAACTTGCACTGGAATGCACACGCTCCTGTTAAATAAACGTCCAGAATACTAAAGAGCTGGGAGGGTATTTGTCATTCAAAATCTCTTCCATACAAATTTTCTTCCAATAAAGCATAATTCTTGAGGATGCTTTCAGGCAAAACCCATATAAATAAATTTTCTGTGGAAAATGTGTGTGATTTTTCAGTTATATGGCACAAAGTTTCAGCAAGTGGGATGGGATTTGCTGGTGTATTTCATCCCACTCCAGACAGTTGTCAAATACATCCAGGATGAATTGCTTTCTAAAGGAGCCCACTTACAGACCCTATGGAGGGAATTTAAAAGATTAGTTTAGAGTAGATGCTGAGTACGCTTCCTGAAACTATAAATGGAAACATTTCATAGATCTTGCCATTGTCTGAAAATAGCCCTGTCAGCCTGGCACATCTGGGATCCTGAATACAAAGCATTTGTTCTCTTTAGTGAAAACTTTGCCTAAAAAAGGCTGTGACATTGGGCTCTCATTTGGAAGAGGCACAGTGCTTGCAGTTTCACGAAAAGTTTCTTCCTCATCTGCTTAATAAAGTTTTCCTTTAAGTTTATTTAAGCTAAACTGAGAGACAGGAGAGGGAGATTCAGGTCTCAGCTGTGCCTCTGAACTCCTGCCTGTCCTCTTCTGGGGTCCAACACCTTCCTGCATTATCAGCAGGATGATATTTTCCCTGGAATACAGAGGAAAAGGCAGGCACCAAGAGATTAAAGTATACTGTTTGGGATCACAAAGCTGGTTTCTGGAGATAAGGAACAAGACAGCAATTTTCACCCATGTGATATTTTCTGCTGTGGACTATTACTGTGAAAAATAACTGTATGATTGGAGAAGTACTTAAGCTATCAAGAATCTAATAGCAGAACAAGGGGAAGAAGCCTGCATCAATGAACAGCTGTAACACCATTAAACCTGCCTCTGCTAACAAAATGCATCAATTCAACACAAATCTCCAAAAATTGATCTGTCTGTCCAAAGTCAATGTCTCATTCTGTGTAAATGCAAACAGTTTTTATTTCTTGCCTCTGTCGGATTATTTTATGTTAGCAGACTTCAAAGAACCTACAGCTTGTTGACAAAGATAGGTTAAAACAATCTTTACAGTGATTTACCAGTAGGACATTGATTGAATTAAACCAGCCCATTCTCCTACAGTACATGAGACCTTATTTAAGGGGATAAATTCCACTCAGTACTTTTTACTTAGAGAATGTTTGTTATTTGTATAAATATAGGTAATGTTCTCTAATACTATCTGTAAAACTAAGGGCCAATAATCCATTATATAAAATTAATGCCAGTGTTTCCTCTGTTAGGGAAAGTTTTTCTTCTATGCATAGGTGCACACCACAGGCCAAGACTAGAGTCTGTCAGAGCCGTGTCCATGTGCTCCACCTGCAGGTCCTCCTGCAGAGACAGGATACAGGGGCATCTCTCAGCTCCTCTCCCATTTCCCTCTTCCCGCTGACAGCTGTACTGGTAGGTGCCACCACCTCCATGCAGTCTTGGTTTTTACTGCCCTGCTGCAGAGGGGAAATGGCATTTAATCATGAGTATATATGAAGACTAGCTGCAATCAGGACAAAGCTCTACACTGTCACATGGCTGCAAATATTATTAGTTTGTTGCCAAGCTTTTCTAACAAACTTTTTTTTTTTTTTTTTTTTGCATTGGGCTAGGCACACGCTGTTTAACACCAAGGCTTCCCACAAAATTAGAGAAGACCAAGAGGGTAATGAGAAAGGTAAAAAGACTTTATAGAAGACACAACCAGTAGAACAAACTGTGCTTCTCCAACACATAATGTTCAGTAACATGCTAGAAAAGGCTTACACATCAGTTTGGACTGGGGTAGGAACTCTCTGACGGGCTGCTTTGTGCAGCTTTTGAACACTACTTGGCTTTGCTCCAGCAGGCATAGCCGAATGCTGTCAATCTCAAACACATGCTAGATACTCTCACTCATGATCATTCCTGTAGCCATGCTATCCTGACTCGTTCTTCCTACTCTTTTTCCAGCTCACTTACTCTACATAACTCAGGAAAGAGAAGGTACATCCATAAAAATGGCTGGCCAGTCGGAGGAAACATAGTGCCAAATCAAGTAATTATTTCATAATATATTTTTGAAAATTAGATCTTACACAAGGCAGCAGGATTCATAAAACCCCTGTTCATGTGGCACACATGATCCTGATCTCTTGTCCAAGGTGCAAAACCGAGAATAACTATGACAAAGGCAGGACCTCCTCGCACACATGTGATGTGTACATTTATAAACTGTTACTTCAGAAACATGTTGGGATCCTGTATGTTTTCCAAAAATATTTCAGAGTAATGCTGACCATATGCTCTTGGCTGCTGAAAACCCCAGTTTGAAGCTAGCTCTTCAAAATATATTGAAAGGGTTTTTCTGCCTTGGCAGTCCTCATTTATCACTGACGGTCAGGTTTTGAGGTGGGCTGGAATGCGCTTCATCACTGAATGCCACTCATCAGCCTCCCGGGGATGAAGGCACGCTCGGTGACTGCTTCTTCCGTCCTGTAACACTGCTAGTGCCGGCGGGGGCCGGGCAGGACATGGGCAGAGTCGAAGGCAACATGCGGGGACAGACAGACACGTCCCGCTTTGGAAGCACCTGGGAGCTGTCAAACTGCCACACGGGCAAACGCGGTGACGTCTCTTAAACATCCCGCTGGTGACCAAGCCACCACGGCAGGTGCCGACTTGAGAAGAGCAGTTTCACAAAGGCTGTTGCGGCTCCTTGACACACCATGTAGGGGCAACACTGCTTGCCCCAGGTTTAGGGGAGAATTCAGCCTTTCTAATTTTAACCACACAACAGCTGGGCAGGCTGCCCGGGCGCGGGCTCTGGCTGCACCTCTGCGCGGTGCCTTTGCCCACCTGTTTCGGGCGCCTCGGTCGCGCACTGCCCGGCAGCCACAGGCCCGGTCTGGGCGGGGGTGCCCGGGGTGATGGTGCCCTCAGGGGTGCCCGGGGTGATGATGCCCTCAGGGCTGCGGGGCCGGGCCGTTCCCGCCCTCCCGGCGCGCCCGCGGCCCCGGGCCCGGCGGCGGCTGCGCGCTGCGGCCGCTCGGTGCCGGCCCCGCTGGCGCCGCCCGCAGCTCCCGCTGCTCCTCTGCCTATTTTAGTCACAGCCGCGGCTCCGTGCCCGTCGCGGGACCGCCAGACCCGGGCTGTTGCCGTCCTGTCCGGGTGGCCCGGAAAGTTTTCCGCGGGGCAGGTGAGGGGCGCTCCTCCCGTGCGCAGGCGGCGGGTCCCGGGGCCGGGGGTGCCGCTCCACCGGCGAGGCAGGAGGGGCGGGCGCCCGGCTCCGCTGAGGAGCCGCCCGGCCAGCGCGGAGAACGCGCGGTCCCGTCCCTCGTTCCCTTCGGTCGCCCTCCTGTGCCCTGCCCGCGGGGAGGAGGGAGGGTTGCCGCTTTCAAAGCGGCCCTTTTGGGGGAAAAGGGACCGGTTGCTCGACTCTTTTAAATTTTTAAAAATTATTTCCACGATTGTTTTGTACGAAGGGTGGGCTGAAACGAAGCTGCGGGGCTGCGGGCTGGCGCTGCTGTCCGGGCGCATCTGTGAGGGCTGAAAGCAGGAGGCAGAGCCGGCTCGGGGCACCCACAGCCTCGGTCCCTCCGCTGCCCTGCCGCGGGGAAAGGCTTTCTCACCCTGTGCATACTGTGTTGGCTATGAAGAATGAACGTGTTGTTAGTTTTTCTCTTGATTAAAGTGACTAAAGAGGGTAGCAAATTTCTGTAGTTACTGACGCGTTTAATTGGATGTGACTTGCTGCAAGGAGCGTATTGAGCATACTTTCTTATAGCGCTTTCCTATTCTTTCCTACTGCATTGTAAAAGAGGAGATTGGTAACTTAAACTGTGATTAACTCAGCTGTGCTATCTCTAGTAGTTTGTTTTCGCAGAAGAATTATTGCCTAAAAAATATCTACGCAGTTCTGTGCTGTAAGTCCATAGAAAAGTAGTTTAAAGTTCTGCAGGTATAATTAAATTATTTTTTTAAAAATGCATCGACTGTAAAGTTATAGAAACATACTCAAGTAAAGATTCAAAAAGCTCACTTGAATGATGTTGACCAGTAAATCTGTGGGATATGAATAATCTCAGTAAAGTGGGTAGCGACACAAGTGGGACACTCAGCACTGTCCTGTATCAGCTTGGCTGACTGATTCTCATTGTAGAACCAGATGTTTTACAATTTTGTGCTATGTCTGTCTTCTGTGAATGTTGATTAGGTATCAACATTCATCACGGTTTTTTCAAAGCCATCTTGGTTCCCGAATATTTGTAGACTAAAGCTTTTGGGAATGCTTTTCAGAAGTTTGGTCTCTTGTATAAAGCTGTTGTTGAGCATAGCAAAATCCTAGAGTAAGCTCACCTCATTTATTTTCTGAGAATTTGTATTTTCTGACCTAAGATCACCAAGTATTACCATAACTTTCTGTCGGGTTCATGCACAAAAGATATTTAATAAACTTGTTTTTAAGTTACAGTAATTTATGTTAGGTTCAAAATTAAGTTTTTTCTTTTTTTTAAATTTTTAAAAATATATCCTCTTTTTTTCCCTCCGTTTGAACAACAAATTGGCTTGAGTTCTCAATCACCTGAATTTTCAAATTCTTGTTTTGGTAAATCTAACTCCATATGATGGATATATACTGGATATTAAAAAATGTTCTTTTAATGATTTATCTTATAACTCGTAAAGCTTTCATTTCAGTGGATGCCATTTGTTGTTGAGCATAGCAAAATCCTAGAGTAAGCTCACCTCATTTATTTTCTGAGAATTTGTATTTTCTGACCTAAGATCACCAAGTATTACCATAACTTTCTGTCGGGTTCATGCACAAAAGATATTTAATAAACTTGTTTTTAAGTTACAGTAATTTATGTTAGGTTCAAAATTAAGTTTTTCCTTTTTTTTTTTTAAATTTTTTAAATAGATCCTCTTTTTTTCCCTCCAATTGAACAACAAATTGGCTTGAGTTCTCAATCACCTGAATTTTCAAATTCTTGTTTTGGTAAATCTAACTCCATATGATGGATATATACTGGATATTAAAAAATGTTCTTTTAATGATTTATCTTATAACTCGTAAAGCTTTCATTTCAGTGGATGCCATTGTAGCTCAACTTTCCAAAATTATTTGACTATGTTAGTTTTTTTAACTTCTGATATTAATACATGTCTTTGCATTGAAGACTTAAGCATATGACTAAATATTCTTGTACTATATTAATCCTGAGTAGACATAAAGTTTGAAAGGCCTGAATCTGTACTTCCAAATTAATTTTTGGCTTTCTGAGGTCACATAAGGTAAAAAATTATAATTTCTTGCTCTTTTGCAGAACTGCAGACTTCTCCCCCATTCTTCAGTATTATTTGGCAACAGTACGTGCTAGGAAAGAATTGATCTAAAAATTACAGTGATGTTGTTTTTTGACATTTTGGATATTTGTCTTTCTGGTGTTACCTGTAGACAAACACTTTAGGTCACAGCTTGTAGCTCTGCCTGTGTGCCTTTTCTCCTGATCCCCAATGCAGTCTCCTTAGTTGAAATTCAGAGCCCGTGTCTAAGTCTGTCCTTGTGTCATTTTGCAGATAGCATCAATCTGTTTCTGTCAGCTTTTTAATACCACCATGATGGAGAAGTTCTCATTTCTGCTGCTTCCAGTACATCAGGGGAGTTGTAATTATTGTTTGTGAGTAGTAAGTGAAGTTCAAAGGTATTCATATAAAGACTTTGAGGCAGTAAAGACAAAGCTTATAAAAAACTGGAGGTGGGCAGATTTAGGCTCTTGGGATTCTAATTGAGGCAATCTAGTAGGTAAGCCTGACCTTCAGAAGTGTTGAACATCCTCCTACAACTGTGGATGCTTTAAATTGCTTGATCAACACTTGGAGAAACTCCTTCCCATTATTTTAGTTTATGGCTGATGATTTGTTGCATCAGTGTCTGGAAGAGCAAGGGGAGCAGCGTTTTGGCTGGGCTGCAAGGAGAATAAGATTGTCAGGTTGTGTATATTTAATTTGGTTCATTGGGTTTCATTTTTGGTTCATTTGATTCATTTGGTTTCTAATGTGTGATGCTTTAGAGCTTTTTAGAGCTGAGCCAAAAGGGTAAGGTAGCCTCTATTCCCACAGTGGAGCAGTAGAATTCTGCTAATAAAAATATCAAGAATCTGGAAGGCTGCTTTTATCTGATATCAGATTCAATTGAAACTACTTTTTGCAGCCTCTTTTGATGCTGATTTGAAGGACTTATGCCTGGTTCTGTATCTGTGTGTGAGTTTGGTTGTCTCTACTTGTTGGCATTTTAAGTGGTGCCTTTGCTGGCATGTGACTGGGCAGTAAAAGGCTGAATATAGGTAGAAACTCACCCAATTATTTTTTCTAAGATCTAGAGATCCTTCTGTTCTAGTGTAAGGAGTTTGTATTGTTTGGAAACAACAGGAGCACCAGATGAGCTGTGTGTAAGATGAGCACAGACATAGTTATCCAGTTAGCAATTCCCTCCTGTTTATGAGCCCGTTAAAATGCCAGTCCTGCAGCCTCTCCTGGGCTCAGGCTTTGGCTCACGGTGTGAGAGGCTTTGTCAGGACAGTGAAACTGCTCTAATGACTCTCTTGAGGAACTCGCATGAAAGAGCTGAAAGAAAGCAGAAGTGTATTTGGATAGGGCTGATGTTTGCTAATAGTGGGGCTATGACAAGCTCCCACATTTTAATTAATCTTTGTGAATAACTAATGTAGGAATGAAAAGAGGAAAGTGATATCTTAAGAAATAAGTGAATTGTGTATTTTGGATTAGATATTTAGGATTATTTTTTTATTTTTTTCCTTGAAAATAATTTCAAACCAGATATAGATACGCTGCACCTGTGCTAGTGTTTGATCCTGCAGGATGCCTCTGCACATTCTGTAGCATCCCTCAGCTGTGACAGGCTCTGGGCATAGGAGATGAACCGTAAGAGAGGGTTGAGGGTTTCTTTCTTCCCACTGCTTTCAGAAGGAGTCTGAAACAGTGAATTATTTTGAAAACTGTCCAACTTGCATATGCCCTATACACAGGTCGATCGCAAGAAAACAAGGGAGGGGATGGGATGAAGCAACTCAAATTTATTTCACAGGCCAAGAAACACTCTCAATTAACAGGGATGCTTCAGAGTATATTCAAGTCTGCAGGAAAGAGTGTATTAACTGTGACCCAAAATTGTCTGCTGAGCAGATGAATTACATGGCAGCTGGTGATGACACACATCAGGGACATGCCCTGTGTCTACAGTGTGGATAGATAGAAGGTAGGAGAATAGAGATAGTGGTGAAGGTAATCTCATCCCTAAGGAGTTACAGCTGTGCTAATTACCAAGCATTAAGAACAAGCCTGCCCTTAATAGGCCACAGCTGGATCCAATTAAGAGGGATGTTATAAAAGAGCAGTTTGGCTGGTGGAGATGTGAGATGGAGTTTGTTGGCTGTGCTGAGAAGAAGAAAAAGTCAGTGGAGCTGCCCATGAAATATCACTGAGAAGGTATGAAACCTTTGCAATAAGATGGTAACGCTACATAATATAATCAAATGCAAATCCTGCTGCGTTGTATTTTATGGAGCTTGTTGGCTCAGTGATGAAGTGCTTATAATTCATTCAAGAGACCTAAGCCCACCTCCATATAATTTCTACTGCTGTGGCAGTGAGAGACCGTGCGTGCCTTGCTGGAAGCTGGGCTCTCCTGGGTTTGACAGCACACATGTCTAGGAGCTGTCACGTTCCTTCATCTGAGTCCTGCTCTGGGTTGAGAAGACCTTCTGTAGAGCTTGTAACACTGACTGCAGTTACCCAGAGAGACCAGCTTTTAATGTTCTAAAGACAATGTCTTGAAATCTTCCAGTTTCTCCCTGTAGTTTGTTTTTAATAGTAATTTTTTGTTTTTAATAGTAATTTTTTGTGTTGCCATTTGCCCACAGATATTTTTCCATTCAATTGAGGCAAAAGGTATATGTGCTATATTTATTATTACAACAACAAAAACATCCTATGTATATTTAGATTACAAATAGTCTTTAGCTGTCTCAATTTCTCCAATAGTCCCACACACAGACAAGGGTCTTGCAAGCGTGTTCAAACTGTGTAGACCAAGTGATTTCCCTAAAAAACTGGCGGCAGACTTAGGAGCCCCTCTGTTTTGGTAGCTGTGATTTAGATGAAAGAGATAGCAAAGCACTACTAAACTATATACCTAGTATACCTAGCTTACCATTTTAAAGCTTTTTTTTTCTCTCTCATGAATGACAATGGAAAATACATCTTGGGAAGAAGGAAAATAACCCTAAAATCCATATGTATGTCTACTATATTTCAGTTTAACGCATAGTGAATTTTTTTCCTCTCCTTGCAGGAGTTTCCAAAATGAATACTACAGCAATGAGCCCACTCACCGTTACTCCACTAGGTTTTGTTCCAGACTTAAAAAATTCCACCCTTGATCCCCTCAATGAGACTGCATGTGAAAACTGGAAAGAGATTCATCATCTTGTTTTCCACGTGGCAAACATTTGCTTTGCAGTTGGACTGGTTATTCCAACTACTTTAAATCTTCATATGATTCTTCTGCGAGGCCTGCTCACTATAGGTAGGAGAATTATTCTGGAGACAGGAATGTGACACAGATGGCTGGGTTTGACCATTATGGAGCTGATCCCTGCAGCTTATGGTGAAATTACTGCCTCTATTAATGACCATTGTGCTCTGATGAAGGTGGTTTTGGTCTGAGACTGGATCTGTTTTGACCTTGATATACTTTTCTAGAAAGATTATATAACCCTTGCCTCTTAAAACTTCCTAGAACTGTAATTTGCAATTTCAAACCTATGAAGATGTCAGCTTGAAAACAAGTGGACATCATTTATGCCACATGTAACTGGATGTTTGAAATCCACTTATTTCAAATCAGTTATGTCTGGTCATTAAGACCTTTATTTTAGATTTCAAGAAAGTATTGGTAGGTGCCCTGGCTCAGTGTGTCTGAGGTAGGTGAGCTAATCCTTGAGGAGCTTGCTGTGAGCCCATGTATTCTTTTAATGTGAGTTCAAACCTGTGGCACTTGTGGGTCACCAGCATTATTTTCATTGCTGATTGAGGAGTGCAGCCGTTGGATGGGGAGTACATTCTGTGTTCTGATATCAGTTGTGTTTCTTCTACAACTGCAGGAATCTTGTGACACCAGAATCTGACTTGAGAGGAAAACCTAAATTTGTCAGGCTTGAGACTGAGCGATGTGGTTTGATTTTTAACACTGCAGTCTCACAGCTATTTCAAAGCCTCTGTACCTTGTGTGGGACAAGATCCTTGTGATCAAAGAAGGAATAGTGACTCATTGCACTGTAAGAGGGATAAATCCAATCCAACAAGAGCATGATCATGTATTTTTAAGTGAGTGCTTATTGGCATTATAGTGTGGGTCAATTTTATGATAGAATTTGAATTTACAATGCTCTTGCATTTTCTATTTTATAGCTATGATAAGGCAACTTAAAACACACTGCACTGGTGTCCAAGGGTCTGAGCATTGCTAGTCTTTTTATCTTGGCTTTAAAAGCAAAAGGTGCTCTGCACTTGCTGGGCCTGCCATTTTGATCTGTAGGTCTTGTAGTATTTTGAGCAGAGAGGGAATCGGAGTTTTGCAAGCTGGGGTGGCAGCAGGGAGCAGATTTACTCAATGGGCAGAATGAGTAATGAGGCCTGGTTCCTAGGGACCTGCTCCCTTTGCCTTGACCCTGTCCCACCTCTGCAATATTGCTGCTCTTCAGTACATCCAGACTTCATATCCTCCTGTGCCTTGCAATCTAACTATTAGTCAGATCGAGTCACTATAGTTTGATTTTTCGAATCCATATGTAAGTGCTGCCTCATGAGTTAACAACCCAGACAGATTAGATAGTACTGAGTTCATCAAGTCAAGGTCATCTTCAGGGAGAAAGGGGGTAAGAACACTCATTTAGCACTGTCTCCTTTTTGTCCTTGTAGGAAGCTTAAGGGAAAATATAACTGTGATCTCTCCAGCCATCTCTGTTGGATGGTAGGCTTGCAGATATCTGGGAGAGACTCACTAATACATAACCTATCATTTGGTAAATATTATCTTTGTATACTGAAAATGGAAGTAAGAACACTCATTTAGCACTGTCTCATTTTGTCTTTGTAGGAAGCTTAAGGGAAAATATAACGGTGACCTCTCCAGCAATCTCTGTTGGATGGTAGGCTTACAGATATCTGGGAGAGACTCACTAATACATAACCTATCATTTGATAAATATTATCTTTGTATGCTGAAAATGGAATCCCTATTCATACACGATGCCTTGTCTTTTAAAGCAAGAGTCATTATTCAAAGCAAGGCAACTAAAAAAAGAGTAAGCATTTGGAAATTTTGTCTTTGTTACACAGGAGAATTCAGATTCCTTATGTCACCTTGTCACATCAGCAATAATAGTTTCTTTTAATTTTCAAAAATATCTGCATATGATTTTAGGAAGTTGTTATGCAACTCTTCCTTGCTAATTAGATGTGAACATTAATTTCTAGGCCTTTTTTGTCTAATTAATGCAACACAAATTTTTGTGAGCTGTCTAATTTTCTCCCATCTCTTTTCTACTTGATTTCAGTAACAAATCATTGTGGACTGCACCTTGGTGCTTGCCCCATCCTGATCTGAATTACTGTGACTTCAGTATTGCAGTCCCATGTAATAGGGCTGCTGTCTGCCAACCTGCCCTCAGTACCTGTCTGCAGCATTGCAGTGATTAGCTATTGTTGCATGCTTTCAATCAGAGAGCTTACCTGTATTGAAGTTTGTAGAATATATTGCTTTTCAGCATAATTATACTCAGTGGACATATTCTTGATCATTTTCTAGGAATGTTTGTTATTTGGTGAAATTTAACTTCCTCTTTTTTTGTTAATTTTTACAGGATGTGCATTATTCATCATTTGGGCTACACTCTATCGTTGTGCCTTGGACATAATGATCTGGAATTCTGTGTTTTTGGTTGTCAATCTTTTGCATTTCATATACCTAGTGTATAAAAGAAGACCGGTATGTATAACAGCTGAATTTCACAAGCACTCTAGTAAGATGCAAGGAAAGGAAGTTTAGCCCATGTTTGCTGGGCAAACCAATGGATTAGTACACATTTTCAACAGAATACTTTTGTGTTTGGCCCAAAATCACACTCTGGAAGTGTGCAACAACTTGTACCAAAAAAAAGGAAAACAAAACCTAACAATGAAAAAACCACAACAATTCAACACTGCCTGTGCAAGAAAGCAGCTAGGAAATTAGCTGGCAAGGTAGCATGAAGCTTGATTTCTGTGTTGCCTAGGAGTAGCTTAAAACTAACTAGACTGATCCGTTACTAGATGTGTAGTAAATATTTCTTGTTCAAATTTCTCTTGAAGGGCTGTCTTACTACTTACAGGGTAACTTCCTCTTTAGTTAGTATTGCAAATGCTTTTTTGTCAGCCTATTCATTTGATGTATGTCACCATTGAGATGCAGCACATGATGAAACTGCATTGTATTTCTGCTAGGTGACTGTGGCCATGCTATCCAGCACACACACAAAATAGCACTTGTGATAACAGAGATAGATGAGGGAGAAGCCAGTGAGGCCAGACTCTACCTACTCTGAAAGTGTCCGCAGTTAAATATCTCATGCAGGTACTCTGGTTTCTAATACGGGATTAAATTATTTGCAGTCTTTCCCCTCAGACAAATTAGCATGTTCTGATTCCCTTCAACACCCCCCCCCAACCCACACCCCTCAATTAAACCTTTTTAATAGAACTTGAGGCTTCTAATATTCTGTCAGATGGGACAGGAAATGGCCACCAAAGTCAGAAATTATTGCAAATGCAGGAGTGCTCAGTTTACAGAAACCCATTTCCCTGGGAAGCCAAGCCTTTAATCTTACCTGTGTTTTAAAGGTGAATTGTGGCATCCTTTAACATAGGTAATGGTTCTTAAGTTTGTACCTGTCCAACCCTTTCCAAAAATCTAAAGAGGTTATTGGTGAGTGAAAAAGCATCCTGGGAGGATGATGTGCTGGTTTGGGCTTGAATGAAAAAAAAAGGACCAAAGAAAAAAATCACCCTGTAATGTGTTAATCAATACTGAACGAAGAAGGAAATACATTATTTTGCAATTACAGTTGTCTACTAAAAGCTATGTTGGCATAGATTGGGGTACTTTGTGCATTATGGTATAGATTTCATCCTGTTGAAGAGGCAGCTGTTTTTTACTAAATCCTCTAATAAATTTGTTAGCAGAATTATTTGTAGGAATTAGGTTAAGTGATAGCAGTGATTGCAGTACACTGTGGGTGGATACAAAAAGAAGGAATTTTGTGGGAATGTGAAACTTGACTGATAAACTCAGTCACCAAAGTTGGTAAAAAATTGCATCTAAGAGGGGGAAGCCTGGAGCACCTGCCTTTAACTTTGCTTTCTCTTTTGGTAGCCCTTGCCCAGTGTCAGAGTAACCACAGCAGAACTGAGGTGCTTGGCACTCCCATAAACTGCACTGCTCACACTCTGGTAGGCAACCACAGCGTATAAAAGGAGGCTAAAGGTTAAACTGCATCTGTCTACAACGAGTTGATAAATTGAGTACATGTGTTAAAAAAGGAAGAGGCTCTACCTACAGCAGTGTTCCTCCAATATGGAACACAGATTCACCCAAAGATTACCATCAGCTGTGCTAAGTGACCTGAGCAACTTAAAGGCTTAGCCTAAAATTAGATCTGATAGACTAGCCAGGTAGTGCTATTTCTTTGCATTTTAAGGCTTAATTTCAATAGTCTTCTTTCTGTTGAGAAATTACAGTATTTATGACTATTGCATGGAAAATATTGTATTCTTTTAATTGCTGTAATACATAATATTTTCTGTAATTATTAAAAAATATATGAATCTTTGCTGCAAACTATAACCAACAAGCATACTTGAAGTGATGCCTGATAGTCACAGAAGTCTTTTTAGCCATCTGACATGTTTATTATAAACCCCAAGGCTGTTTTAAGTGTTTTTCCTACAGGAGGACAAAGATTAGGGGGGAAAAAATTAAAACTCTTAGGAACTAATTTTAGAATGAGATTTTCTCTCTGCAGCTATTGTATTGCCCATCTCAATCAGTTTTGGTAATTCTCACAAAAGATCTTTCCAAGGAAAGAAAGGAATGGCAGAATAATTACAAGTTAGTCATATTACAAAATGAATAATTTATATGTTAGGTTGTTAAATATTTATTTTATTAAATGGAGCATGCAAAATCACAGTGAGTTTCTTTTCTGACCAGAAGATTATTTCAGTGGTTTTGATTCCTTGGAGCTTTACAAATTTGGCTTTTTTAGTTGGAGTGGAAGCTGACTCTAATCAGTCTGACTCGGAGTTCTGGCAGCATCCCAGAATATTTCAACCCCTGCTGAAGAAAACATTACACCTACCCATATGGCTTGTTTGGAATATGAGCCACAAGCATGACTGGAGGAGCAGTCAGCTGTGCTTGGGAAGGGGGAATGGTCTGTTATGAGGGAGCCCATCTAAAGCTCAGCTACAGCCTGCAATCTGATCAGTCTTTAAGAAAGTGGCTACACCTGCTTTCCCGTCAAAGTATTACACACTAGAGGAAGATCATGCAACATGAACCATGTGCTAGTTAAGGGATTGGATTAACACTCCAGGGCCAAAATTTGCCCTCATGTCTGTGTGCCTGGTTTTGGGTTCAGCAGTCTAAGGAGCTTCATTTTTCAGATGGAAATGTATTTCTTTAAGTTGCAGTGGTCATGAAAGTTTCATAAAAAGTGCAAATTAAATTTGTACAGCTGTTAAAAATGAAGGCGTTCCTGGAGAACATCATGGTAAAACAGTCAGCTTTGTGGGTATATGGAACATATTTTCAACAATTTGTGGGTATATGGAACAACAAAATATGTTCAGGACAATCCTTAACAAATACAATTTCTCTTGCATGTTTGTTTTTAGTCCTTGTTTTGTCTGTGTAGATGTCCTCTGAGGGACTAAAGATTGTGGCATAAGGAACATACAGGAAATTCAAAACCTGAATTTCATAGGAGTGTAGTTGCTTGTGGAATATTTAACTAGTAATTGCTTCAGTGTGAAACCAGGGTGACTTTAGGTCAAGTGATGCACTGGATATAGTAAGTCCATGAGCCCTGATGTCACACAGCCACAGGAGCTCGTGCCACTGCAAGGCCATTCCTGATAGTCTTGGAATAATGGTGGTGACTGAGAGAAGTGAGTGAGGAACAGAGAAAGCAAATGCCACTCCTTTCCTCAAAAAGTACAAGAAGGGACCAGCAACTGCAGCCTGGTCAACCTCAACTTATCTCTGAAAAGAAGGAATAGATAGTCCTGGAAAACATTTCTGTGCACATGAAGCACAAGAAGGTAATCAGGAGTGGTCAGCAAGGATTTACCAAGGGGGAGCCATGCTTAACCAGCCTGATAACAGATGGATAAGAAACTGATTGAATGGTCACCTCCAGAGGGTGATGGTCAAAGGTTTAGAGTCCTGATGGACATCAGTGACAAGTGCTGTCCCATTTGGGTCTGTATTGGGACCAGTGCTATTTACTGCCTTCATTAATGACATAGACAAAGGGCTTGAGTGCACCCTCAACAAATCTACAGATGACACCAAGCTGAGTTGTTTGACACATCTCAAGGATGGGATACCTTCCAGAGGGACTTAGACAAGCTTGAGAAGTGGGCCAATGGAAATTTCATTAAATGCAACATGACCAAGTGCAAGGTGCTGCACCTGGTTGGGGCTACCCCCAATTTTAACACAGGCTGAGGGATGAGGATTGACAGCAGCCTTACAGAGAAGGACTTGGGTGTGGATGAGAGGCTGGACTTGACCTGGCAGTGTGCACTCACAGCCGCAGAAACCCAGTTGTGTCCTGAGCCACATCAAAAGCAGCATGGCCAGCAGGGTGAGGGAAGTGACTGCTCTGATGATATCTCACCTGGAGTGCTCTGAGGTCCTGAGCACAGAGACAGAAGTGTTCTATGAGGAAAGGCTGGGGGAATTGGGGTTGTTCAGCCTGGAAAAGAAAAGTCTTTGGGGTGGCCAGATTGTGGCCTTCCAGTACTGGAAGGGAAACTACAAGAAGGATGGCGAGGGACATGTTACAAGGGCATGTAGTGACAGGATAATGGTTTCAAACTGAGAGTAGGCTTAGATTAGATATTAGAAAGGAATTCTTTACTGTGAGGGGGGTGAGGCACTGGAACAGCTTGTCCAGAGAAGCTGTATGTGCACAATCCCTAGAAGTGTTCAAGGTCAGGTTGAAGCTCTGATGGTACCTGGTCTTATGGAAGATGTCCCTGCCTATGGCAGAGGGATTGGAACTGGGTGACCTTTAAGGCCCCTTCTGACCCAAGCCATTCTATGATAACCTTCTGTGATGAAATGACTGGCCAGATAGCTGAGAATGGTGAATATCCGCAACTTTAATTTCAGTAGGGCTTTCAGCACTGTCTTGTATAAAATCCTGACAGAGAATCTGTTGAAGTGTGGCCTGGATGGATTGAAATGAAATTGAAAATGAACTGAAATGAATTAAAATTGAAATCTGGCTGAATGTCAGTGTGGTAATCAGAGGTAAGAAGTCCAGCTGGAGATGGGCACCACACATATGTTAGTGTGTGCTGTGTAACCTCAGGGCCAGTGCTAGTCCCAGTGCTGTTTGACATCTTTATTCATGGCCTGGGTGGTGGGGCATATGTGAACCCTGATGACACAAAACTATGAGGAGTGGCTGATAGGCCAGAAGGTTGGGAAACCATCTAGAGGGGCCTTAGCAGGCTGGAGAAATGGACCAACAGGAACCTCATGGAGTTCAAGAGAAAGTGCAAAGTACTGCACCAGGGAGGAATAACCATGCATCAGCACATGCCAGGGACTGACCAGCTGGAAAGCAGCTTTGTAGAAAAGGACCTGCAGGTCCTGGGGGAAGACTTGAACATGAGTCAGAAACTTGCCTCTTTTTCTTGTTTTCTGTCATTCTTTCTTGGTTGTTTTTCCTTTTTCTCTCTTCTATGTATATATTTTTTTTTTTTTCATTATCTGATACTTATTGTTCTAATTTGTCTTCCTCATGGCAAATATGCAGGCTTTATTCAGGCTCCCTCTGCTTTCAGAGAGGCTGTAATATTGTCTCATCCCCTGCTTCCTTCATTCAGGGAAGACTTCCAGGCTTAGGATTTCAGCCAACATCCTTTCCCTCATTGCTGCTGCCTGAGTTTGGGTGGGCTCTTAGATGTGGGATGTTCAGCTGGCAATGTTTTTGGGGTTTTTTTTCCTCCCTCATCACATGTGGTTTCAATATAATTGGTTTGTTTTTCAGGACTTGCTTTTCTACTGCAAGTAAGCCAACAAGTTCAGGGATGAGAGGGGCTCCCAGGAGAGCCTGAGGGATAGCCACAGTCATGCATGCACGCAGCGTGAAAGACAACCTCATTTTTTTTCTCTGTATAATTCTTGCCCAAGTCCTTCCTATTCACTATTGCACCAGCAGACATCTCAGAGGGCTCCTTGTGTGTGATTTAATGTGGCACTTGGATGGAACAGCATTCTAAAGCACCAGTGTGCCATCCTGGCTAATTTTAGATAAGGTTTTGTTCACCCTATCATAGGCAGTGTTTGTGGATAGACATCACACATTTACCACTTCTTTCCTTGCTTAACCATAATGAAGCCAAAGATGTCCCTGAAGCTAAAGCATGTGTGCAGTCTTACCCATTTTTAACTAATGAATCTGTGTTTATTGATCTCTCTTGTTTTTCCAATCTAGATCAAGATAGAGAAGGAGCTTAGCAGCCTCTACAAGAGAATGTTTGAACCTCTCCATGTGCCTCCAGAGCTCTTCCAAAGACTAACTGGACAATTCTGCAACATTCAGACTTTGAAGACTGGTCAAGCCTATGCAGCAGAAGATAAAACATCAGTTGATGATAGGCTAAGCATCCTGCTGAAGGGGAAGTAGGTTCTATAAAAGCTTGGGGACAGTCATATGCTTTGTGTCATGGCTGAATAAATTAGAAAATTATTGAGGCTGCAATTGTTTGTAGTATGCTAAGGTCTGTAGTCAAATGGTTCTATACTTATAGACTATTTTTGGACACCATTTTCAGGTGACAGTGATATCTCTTACTGGGAGCATATTGTGTATCCACTTGTGTATGCAGCTGCGTGGATTTTAGTGGGAATTATATTTGTGTAATAGCAAAGGCAGTGTCTTGCAAAATGAGCAAGAATTTTGTTTGAGTCTTAGACATCCTAGTTGTCCATTTTCAGGTTTTAAGGTTAAAAAATATGGTGCATGAAGGAAGAATAATTATGTCTCCAGCAGGATTTAAAACAGCGGGCCTTTGGAGTTGATTCATTGCACTTGTACATGCAAGTAGAGAGGGCAGGTGCACTGCCCAGAGGCAGATTGAATCCAGGTGAGAAAGGGTGAAATATATGCCCATGACCAAGCTGTATTCTTGAAACTCATGCTAAATTCTGGCCAATATTTTAACCAGTTTCTGTTGACAGCAGCAGCAATGTCAGGCTCCATTGCTTTTCTTGCTCATTACCACAAAGCTACTTACCTAAGGGAAGCCTGATTCTGGTCTGGCTGTGTAACACGACCTTTCTCATATTGAATAACAATGTTTTGTGGATACATGCCATGTTCATCAATTTTCTGTTTGTCTGGCAGCCTGTTCTGCTTGGAATCAGTTAGGCAGAAAACAGGGTAGCTCTGGGAGTGATGTTCCAGAAGATGAACGTATTTATTCCTGTTACCCTACTGCATTACTGTTGTCAGTAGTCCTACCCAATTTTTGATTAAATTAATCAGCCTCCATGATTTTAAAATGTTGTTTCATACATTTTTCTTTCCAGAATGAAGGTGTCCTATCGAGGGCATTTTCTGCATAATATTTACCCCTGTGCCTTTATAGATTCTCCTGAATTTCGCTCAACGCAGATGAACCGGGGTGAGAAATTCCAGGTACATCTTGTTTTAAATGTCACTGGATATGAGCTGCTGAGACCATTAAAAAAATAGAGTATAAATTTGATCAACAGTGAACTGTTTGATTCGCATAATTGTGCTATCCTTCTAGTATAGCTCTTTGAAGATGGACCATATCAAGAATAACTTTTAAATGCTGAAAAACACTGTTATAATGTTGTGTATTGAGCAGTCTGGCTTTTGCTATTTTGTTATTTTTTACTGTTTCCAAGTTTATTTGTGTTAAGACATTGTTCAGGACAAATAATTTAAGAGGCAGTTTTGATGGAAAAAGATGATATGAACAGGTTTCATCAGTGGTTCAATAAAAAGGGAAAAAGAGCTACTGTAATAATTAAACTCCAGAAGTTCTGGCACTAGTAATTAGAAATTGGTATTTATAAAAGTGTATGAATACTTCTGTCATTTTGCAATTTGTTAAAGCAACATAAGCTGAAAATTATCTCAGTATTTTGAATAAAAATATTCATAAGGGAAACAATAAGGGTATATTTCTCTAGCAGGAACAATAAGAGTATATTAAATATATTCTATTATAATTTGGGGAGGTGGAATACTTTTAGGGAAGGGTGGTTTTTTCCCATAGAAATGGCTATTTTATTACCTCTTACTTGATGTTCTTTAGCTAGGTGTGTGTAATAATGACCGGACTGTGACTGACTGATACATCCACCCTGACAGCGTGGCAGAAGGGGAGGCAGAGCAGACTCTAAAATCAGTGATTGATGTCATGTGTTCCAGTCAAACACTGGGCTTGGCGCCAGGGGGAGAGACTTGTCCCGATGCACTCACCTCGCAGCAGTGGGGCCTCCCACAGCCCGGCTGCCCCCTTGGCACAGCCCCTTTCTCCTGGGACAGGCTGGACAGGAATCGGTCCCTCCCAAGGGAAAAGGGGCATGCCTCAGCTTCTGCCTGCCTTAGGGGTTACTGTGATCTGGAGCAGAGTGCATCCTTTATTCGTGGGTTCTGCTTGGTACTGCCATGTGAATACCAGCAGCCTTGCAAGAGCACACGGATCCAGCCTTAAGGACCCCATCTGCTGGCAATGCTGGAGAATTCTTCCTCAGCCTGTGGGCTTATGTTACAGTCAGTGGAGTTAAAAATCCGTGGATATATGACAGTATTCCATTGTTTCTAGGACTTAATGGATTTTTTTTTTCAGGATGTAATGTTATCTTGTGAGAGCAGAGAGCACCTGATTTTGATTTATTCATAGATGCCTGACTCCCCCTTGCAAAACCTGCCCCTGGGTATGACCATTGTGGGTTTTGGTGTGGCATTGCCCTCTGCTGGCACAGGGGGATGAGCCTGGCACGTCCATCCTCCCATGAGAGGGGGCAAAATCCCCTGTAACTACCCATGACTGGATTATCAATAACTGAGCAAACAGAGCCCTGGCTCAACTGCTACAAGGTTATACTTGTGGGATCAGCAGGGCTGACACTTACAACAGGAAAATGGAATTTTTTTTTTAATTACTAAAAACCTTTGGGTGATACCAGTTGTTCCTGTTTGGTGGTGGTGATGTAAAATAAAACCAAGCTACATATAGGCCTACTGCAAGTGCTTGTCATCACTATAGGACTGAGTTCATAAATAAATTTCCTCTTACATAAGTGCTTTTACAATTTGGGAACTCATGAGAGATTTTCCCTGTTATTCTCCCCCAGGTTTTCTGTAAAACAAACTGGCTACACATATCAGTTACAAATATAATGAAAATGAATAGCTGAGAATTTTTACATTTGTAAATATCACATTCATAATAAAGGGATACCAAAAAGCTTTATGGCTTTAAGAGTTACTTTAACTGGAGTCACAAATAAAATGTACTCACTTATTTTAAAGCATGTTTAAGTGTGTTCATCTTAAAACATTTTTAAATGTGCTAACTCTGAGCATGTATTTTTTCCAGGTCACCATTATTGCAGATGATAATTGCAAGTTCCTGTGCTGGTCCAGGGAACGGCTGACTTACTTTCTGGAGTCTGAGCCATTTCTTTATGAGATCTTTAAGTACCTTATTGGCAAAGATATTACAAATAAACTTTATTCATTGAATGACCCAACCTTAAATGACAAGGTAAGCAAGTTCAAGGTTTTTTTGGAAATTTTCCTCCCACATACAAATGTGTTTTTATTTCAGTTTTGAGTGCTCTTAAAGCACCTCATTTAACTTGCTGCCATCAGCTACTTAATGCACACTCGTGGCCTTTTAGTGCCAAGGTGTGAGTCAGTGCAACATTTCTGTCAGAAGGAACATTTGTTAAAGTCAGCACAGTAGTGTACAAGAAAGATGAGTAACTGAGATTCAAAACTGATCAACTTGTGGAAATATTTCTGCCTAGCAATTAGACATGATGGCCAGTAGCTAAAAAGGTGCTTCTCCCTGGATATCCTTTCTCACTAACAAAATGAGTATCTTTGTAAAAAGAAGCTTCAGAGTTCTTTTCTTAAAAAAAATTTCTTACTGGGGGCAAACAATTATGTAATACTGATTGCTAGGTAAAATAATTTCAGCATGTCTTTGAGGGCTGCAAATGCAAAAAAAAAAAGCAAACATGTTGATATAATGCAGGTAGTGGAAGGAATAATGAAATACATCTAAAATATAAATAAATATAATTAAAATATAATTAATATATTTGTAAATATATAAAACATTAAGTGGTCTGGGTGTACTCATGGATATATGAACTAGCTTGCTTTAGTTTCATTTTGTCTCCTTACTTATTCCTTATCATAATTTTGAAGAATTAGAAAATCCAACAAATTTTACCCCTCTTTTGACTTAACATCTGTACACTTCAGTTTGTACTGAGTCTTTGTTTTTACTTGCAAAAGTCACATAAATTTAAGATTATTATAGCTGGTTTCTTTTAATTACAACATACATTTGAAAATGTATGTTGTAAACATTGAGTGAGCCTTTGGGAAATTTGTTGTATCTTATTCTTCCTAAAATAAAAATCCTGTTGCATGAGCTCTTCCTACTTAACTTGACAAGAGAACTGTTAAATAAATTCTTAATTTTCCCATTGCCAGCACTATGTACATATTACCTCTCACAAGCTTCACTTTCAAATATAAATATTTTTGATGTCTTTGATGTCATTTAACTGTTGTCAGTCTCATCAGAAAATGTTGGGGTTGACTTGTGTATGTAGAGTATTGAGTATTGATTATTCGTATTCAATATGGTAGTAAAAAGATACAACTATCAAATAAATTCTTGTTGGAAAACAGGAAAGTATATTTTATTTATTTTAAAAGTATATTTATTTTTAAAGTATATTTATTTTAAAAGTATATTTGTTTTTAAAATTATATTCTATTGTATTAAATGTATTATTAAAGTATAATTTATTTTGTAAGAAAACTTGTGATTTTCTCCTACCTAAGGAGACTTTCACTAGTATTGGGAAAATAGTCATTCCTTTCTGCATGGTTCCTGACTTTTAAAATTCCATAAAGTGGATTTATCCATTATTGTCTTGTCATTGATTGCTACCTTTCACGTATACCTAAAATGGCGTTCTGACTTGCAGTAATACCTTACAAGGTACAATGTATGGCTTCACATAAATGTTGTAGTATAAAGGCTTCTCAGGAAGGCTACTCAAAGCAGAATGGAAGCTCCTCAGCCCATTTGACAGGGAGAGGATAATGTTCACCTGATGGACTTAGTCTGCAGTAGAATCAAGAGCCAATGGGCATCTGCTGGGAAGGAGTGGCATTCACCACTTTTCTAACATGATGAAATGAAAAGCCAGGAAAATGAACATGCTTCTGTTAAGGTATAAATTGCCTCTATATGTAGCATGCTGTTTTGTTTAGCAAGGAGGATCAGCCTCATCGTAAAGACTACATTTAATTGCAGAGCATCACATTTAAATAATGAATTACCAGATAATAAACCCCAAGCTTTCTGTAAGAAAATACATGAAAATTTCAGTACAAAAGCAATTTGAGATTGAATAATTAATGTGCAGTTTCATACTTGTCAATGTTGCAATTCCAGTATATTACTGGCATTTTCTATTGTCATTTAAATTGATTTACACTGCATAGAATCTTCTCCTATAACAATTTTCTTGTATAATTATGGCTGAGCCCGGAGCATCTATTACAAGGGAAGTAGTAATTTTCCATTTTTATTTTAATTTGCCTGATCTTTTTTTAAAGTAATCATTTTTTTCTTTTTTAGGCTTCAAAGAAGATTGACCGACAGCCCAGCCTTTGCTCCCAGCTCTCCGTGATGCAGATGAGGAACAGCATGGCCAGCACCAGTGACAGCGAGGATGGCTTGCAGATGTTTCTTCGTGGGACTTCCTCTGCATCCTCTCTTCGTGAGTGCTCAGAACAGTTTGTGGCAGTTTTGAACATGGCTCAGGTTGACCATCAGAGACCATTGCAGAGCTCCTGTTGGAGCTCCTGTCTGTGGGAGCAGAGTGTGGTTTTTTGGGTGCTGCTGTATCAGCTAAATGAAGGGACTTAACTATAGGGCAGTCATTAGATGAATCAGGCTTTGTGTTTTCAATGCAGATGCCTCATGTACATACTGGGAAAAGATCTCAACATGTGTAGGAATAATCTTTGGCATAATGTTTACATTTAAGCATAATATGGAATGTTTATAGTAATGGAGCAAAACTGAAGGTACAGTGCCGGTCACACTAGTATGTCTTTTGGTCTGTCACTGGTGCTTGTAGAACCTAAAAACCCAAACAAAACGTTTTCCCTCAGCAATTTGGTGTCCTACTTTTCCTCCTGAGATAGTTTGTATTGGCAGAGTCTGGAGGAATGTGGTATACAACCAATATTTTGATGTCACCTGGAAAATCTCCAAGTATCCCGTCAGGCCCTCCTCTGTTGTGCTTTGTATGACAGGAGTAGTGGAGAACAAATGAAGTGAGAGAAGAAACCATGTCTGACCTTTTAACTTCTATTATTTTAATTTATTCCTTTATGAAAACATTCTAAATTATTCTTTCTGGGCTATTGCTGTCATTTGTTTTTAGATCATCTGAATCTAAACATCAACACTGGCCTGAATTCTGAAAGCAGTGTTTGAATAAAAAAGCCCCAGAGGATGCTCAATTTTTTTATTTGGCACAGGCTGTTAGTTTAACACCATTTAAAAAGATCATATAGGAGTATTTATTTTGATTTTGTAAATATTATTTTTTAGTGATTAGAATTTAAATATATGAGAAAAAACCCACTGTTATTGTTATTTGTTATATGTTACTTGTTATGGTTAAAGTCTCTGCTAAGAAGAGGAAATATTTTCAAATATTTGCATCTTTCTGTTTAATTATGTTTTCCATTGTGTTCCTCACAGTTCTCATCCTGTAACACCTTCAGACCTGGAGGGCCTATCTGGTTTTACTTCTTAACATTGGTGTAGTCTGCATGCCCAGATAGATGGAGGAAAAAGTCCTACTAATGCTTCACCCTACTAGAGCATCAAGGGTGACATCTGGGATATAGCTTGATGAAAATTCCAGTGTTGTTTTCTTTTTCCCCTCTGTACACTGCAAGGACATTCAGAGGTAGTTGAGATAGTAAGGGACCCCTGGAAATTATCAGGTCCAGCCTCATGTCCAAAGCAAGATCAGCTAGAGCAGAGCCATGTCCACTCAAGCTTTGAATATTTCCAAGATGGAAGATTTTCCAGCCTCCCTGAGCAAACTGCTGCAGGGACTTACCATGCTCACAGTAAAAAAACTTCCCATATTGCAACTCATGCTTGTTTTCCTTCTTTCTTTAGTGCATGCCTCTGAGAAGAGTCTGACTCTCTCTTTTATGTTGCCTTCCATTAGGTAGCCAAAGACAAGAGTCAGATCCCCTGGGAGCCTTCTGTTCCTAAACACACCCAGCTCCTGCAGCCTCTCCATCACTGCTCCAGCCTCTGGCCAGCTGGGTTACACTCCGCTGCTCTCGCTCCAGTGTGTCCATGTCTTTCTTGTACAGGGAGGCACAAAACTGATGCAGCACTCCAGATCCTGTCTCACAATTGCCAGATGGAGGGGATTAATCTCTTTCAGTGACCTGTTGGCTTTGCTTTTGCTTATATGGCTCAATATATGCTGCTAATGTGGCCCAATATATGGATGGCACCCTTCACTGCAGGGGCACTCTACTGACTCGTGTTCTATTTTGTGTCCACCAGGACACCCAAGTTTGTTTCTGCAAAGCTGCTTTCCAGCCAGCTGGGGCCTAGGCTGTAATGCTGTGTAGGTGTGTCATGTCCCAGGTTCAGGGATTTGTCTTTCATGAACTTGTAGTTTTTGTCAGCTTTTTTCTCTTTTCCAATGGCCTGTTCCAAGACTCACTGTCCTGCCCTTTGGCCTGTCAGCAGTTTCCCTCATTACCTGTGTCTTGTCTGTGAATTTGGCAGGAGTGCATTCCATCCCATCAACCTGGTCATTCATATCTTGAATATTATAGGCCTTGGCCTTGGCCCTTGAGAACACTGCTGGTAACCAACCATCCACCAACAGCTGGGTTTTGTACTGCTGTTCACCACCCTGTGAACTTGGCAGTACAGCAGATTTTCCACGGAAGCTGTAGTCCATCTACCCAGTCTGTTTCCCATTTGTCTGGAAGGACCCAGTGGCAGACTGTGGAGAGCTGTGCTGCCATCCCTGTAAACAACATCCGCTGTACTCCATTCATGCAGAGAGGCCATCAGCTCACCACCAAAGGTGGAAGGTGGTCAGATGCAATCAGCATCCGTGATGGCTTTCCCAGTCACTTTCCCGCCCTTTGTGTGCTTGCACATGGCTTCCAGGAAGACAAGCTTCGTAGTCTTCCCGGGAAATTAATTTAGACTGCTAGGCCTGGATGTGTCATCCTCCCCTTCATCAAAATGGCTGTGATCTTGGCATTTCCATTTGTGTCCCCTGACTGCAATCACCGTTCCCAGATGATAAAGGGGGCTTTGCAATTGTATCAGCCAATGCTTGGCACCCTTGGATGCAGCCCATGTGGTTCCACAATCTCGTGTTCACGCTGTGGACTTGAGGTGTTCCTAACTCAGTCCAGGTTTCGGGTCAGTCAAGCATCACCCTCTGTCTCTAGCACTGGATGCAGAGCCCCAGCAGGCCTCAGGACAAACCTCTAAAGAAAAAACTCAATACAAATAGTTACTGAATAGCTCAGACTTTCTGATGTTCCTGTGATGTGCATCACTGAACTCTTGCCTCACAGTTACCCTGGTCTTTCTTTTGTTGCTGATTTATTTGTAGATGCCTTTCTTGTTGCCTTTCACTAGATCCAGGTCTAGCTGAGGTTTGGCTTCCCTCATTTCATCACCGCATGCTTGGGCCATGGTTCTGTGTTCCCTCCAAAGAGCTCATCCCCGCTTACACTTTGTGTGTGTCTGTTCTGAGTCTGTCAGAACTTTCCTGTTCATTTATGCCACCCTTCTACCCTACTTGCCCAGCTTTTTGTGCACTGGAATGAGCTGTCCTTGTGTTTTGAGGAAGGTGTCCTCGACGATCAACCATCTGTCCTTAGGTCCCTTCGCAAGCCTTGTCCCATGAGTTCCTGCCAAGTAAAACCCTGAGCAAGCCACAGTCCCCTGTGCTATAAGGCTGTAATTCTACTATTTGTCTTGCACACACTCAGTATCTTAAACTCCACCAGCTCCTGGACAGTGCAGCCAAGATTACCAGCAGCCTTCAGCTCCTGATGAGTTCTTCCTTGTTCATCAGTGACAGGTCCAGCAGAGCGCCTTCCCTAGTTGACTCATCGATTACTGGCATGAAGGAATTGCCTGCTACGTTCCAGAAATCTCCTGGACTGCCTGCTCCCAGCCCTGTTGCCTTTCCACCAGATACCAGGGTGGTTAAAACTTCCCAGGATCACCAAGGCCTGTGACCCAGTTGTTGAAAGAAGCTTCCTTCTCCTTGCTCTTCTTGATCAGGCAGCCTGTAGACATTCCTGCCATGAAGTCTCCTGTGTTGGTCTGTTCTCTGATCTTTGCCTTTAAACCCTCGAGTGGCTTTTCACCTGTTCCATGCACAGCAAAGTTCCGTGAAATTGAAGCCACTCCTTTGCACAGAGAGCCTTTGGGTGAATTTTGAATTTGCACACTCAGAAATTGTAAAACTGTGTTTGTGCGTTTAGTTAGAATTGTCTCTTTCAGGCTTAACAGCAAAACTCTTACACCAATATTTCAGCTTTGGGAGAATGTACTTGAAATGCATGACAAGTTCAGCTGTAATTATATAAATCTCCAAGATGCACATACTTGATAAATACACTTTCTCTGTTGTACTTTCTTGGTTTGTGTACCTTTTTTTTTTGCTATACAGGGTGTGCTTTACCCAAGATAAGGGGTTTATGTGTCATAAATACACTTTTCTCTGTTGTACTTTTTCTTGGTTTGTGTACATTTTTTTTTGCTATACAGGGTGTGCTTTACCCAAGATAAGGGGTTTATGTGTCTTTTATTTTCTGAAATTCCTCAGCCCAGCTGAGACAGCAGCCTCCCAAGTCCAATGCTTGCCCTTACTTTTGGGGAGGCAGAGGGACTGCCCCTATAGCAGTGCAATACACACCTTGGGAAGTATTGTTATTTATTTCTTCTTTGTATTTTGATTGTGAAATTTCTGACTGCTGTAAAAGATTTGTTAATTTCTTTGAACCCCTAATGCTTCAATCTTTGTTTTTGCCAAGATAGCTTGTTAGTTATTCCTGGGTATTGTCATTGCCAGTGATGGGGTTGCTGCCAAGGTGAGCTCTGCTTAAAGATTTGTATTCAGTGTGGATTGTGGCCATGTATGCACATTTTTCAGATCACAGGGAAAACTGAAAAAAATTCTGCTATTTGCCTTGTCACTGCTATGTTTTCAGAAATCTTCTGCTGGGTGCTCTCAGTGCAACAGCTGAGGTATTTTTTGGTTTGGTTTTTTTTTTTTTTAAGCTTTACTATAAGGCACATGCTGAGGCTTACAGTTCCAGTACTGTTCCCTGGATCCTCCTCCTACAGGCATACATTTGTTTATTTAGAACAAACAAATGCAATCCAAAAGCCTCAAAAGATTTTGTGAAAAACTTTTTCTAATGTTTTCTTTTTTTTTAAAAATTAGAATAAAAAAATGAATGAAGGGACTGTACAGGGACTGTTCCTATTCTATAGGAATACTGTTAGTCATTGCTAGGTGATGGTTGTGTGGACAAAACCTCCCACCATAAACATAACTTTGACTACTCTAATCCAAATAAGTTTTCTTCTCCTAATTTCCATATTCTTGAAAAAATGAGCATTTATATTTTTGTATAATCCCATCTTTTTAAACTATGCATTTATCAGTGCTATAAATGATAAACTTTGACTCATTTTCTCAAGAAATTAATATTAATCCTATTTCAAAGTATTTAGTAATAAAAGGGTTAAAGTTACTAATTAGTAGGTCCCAAACTACAATTACTAACAAAAGTATGTTTTTAATTAATCAAGAAACCCAACTAACTTTTTGCTTTTATATTAAGGAAATAACCAACAAGAGTTCTGTAATGCTTACGGAGTGAGTCGTTTGCAGCATGATGTTTTCTGTTGATAACATCACATTAACTCAGCAGGCATCCTCTAAAAGGTATTCAAGTGGGGTTTGTTTATCATGTGACACTTGTGCTTGACATCCGTGGTCCATCTGTATGTAATTCATTAGTAAGTGAAATAGAGGTATCTCTTTTTCCAAAATTTGAGTTAAGCAAAAATAGTTTAACCTGATCACAAGGCTAGTTTCAATCCTTTAAATAATATTTTGGTATTAGTTTCTATTCTGTAATTCTATTGCTTGACAGCCACTGACATATTTATTAGAGATACAGTGTCTTTTTCTGTGGTACTTGTTTTAGACATCTCAGATTTGCTGGTGTATGCAAATATTTGTTAACTTCTAAGCTGAGCAGGAATGTAAAAAGGTTTTGGTTTGGTAATGCTTTTAGTGGTATTATCAAATTATATGCTCCCTGCTTGTGGTTAAAAGCAGGAGTGGATTTCACAGGAATTTTAATATGTATTTCAGGTTAGGCCCTCAAGAAAGGGCAACAAAATGCAATGAAAGGAAGGTCTGACTCAGTCACTTGAACATCTGTCCAACACTGGATAATGGCATCAGCAGACAAAACTTTGTATTTGGAGCACATAAGAGCATGTCTTTGAAACAAACAGGCTGAGCAAACTAGACCTTACATTGGATCCTCTTGTACAAACTTATAGCCACTTCTGTTTTCTGGAGAGAATTAAGTGGCTTTAAACAGAAGAAAACTATTTTTTAAATAGCAATAAACTACACTGAAACAAAGATCTACAAAAAAAAAAAAAGAAGCTGGTATTGTAACTCAGCATTTTCAGACAACCTTTTACCTTTAGGTATCTCACAGAAAATCCACTTTTATATCCAGATGTACCGACAGACTTTGGGTGGGGCACATTAGCCAATTAATTGATCTAGTTATCCTTTGCTTAGGCCATAAAACACATCTGTGTGGGAAGAAATGTTTAATAATGTCAGTGTCTAAAAATGTGCTTGAGTAACCCTATGTTGTGGCAGTTTAAGTAGTTTTTGAATCTCAAAAGAAAATACGAATATATTTTTAAAATAAGAAGTTCTGAAATGCCAATTCCAAACAGTGTCTTTGTGAATATGACTTAAAAATGCATTAGTGTCATAACTTGCTGGTGTTGTCTGTGTCTGTATATTGCTCTCTGTGTGTAACACATGCAGTGTAAATGAGTCTTTCCTCATAAGTGGGCTTCCTTAACACAGCACTTTACTGTATATCTGATAAATGTTTCTTAAAAATAAGAGTGTATTACAGCAATCAGTATTTTTTTCAAGAATATTTAAATTTTTAGCTTGTATGCAAACAGTCTGTTAGCATGGCCTTTTTCTGTGTGTAACACATACAGTGTAAATGAGTCTGTCCTCATAAGTGGGCTTTCTTAGCACTTTACTGTATAGCTGATAAATGTTTCTTAAGAATAAGAGTGTGTTACAGCAATCAGTATTTTTTTCAAGAATATTTAAATTTTTAGCTTGTATGCAAACAGTCTGTTAGCATGGCCTTTATCTCTTGTTGTTTTCTTCTCAAATGGGGTTTTAGAGATTTCCATAATCTTTTTGGTCATCATATACTAGCTGTTTGTAACCTCAAACTATTGTGGTGGTCTAAGTCTAGAAGAGGGTACTGACAAAAATACATGTCCACATGTAGATTCGATTTCAGAATGAACAGTGGAAAACAGAACTGTCCAGCTGATGACTCAAAGGAGTTCTCTGGTTTGATCCTCATACTGAAAATTTAACTGCAGTAGAGGTATTTTGCAGTGGTAACTTGCACAAAAATTCCATTCAATGTCTTGACAGTGATAGCTGTGGTGTGAGCCCTGCTCTGGCAGACAAGTTGCTGCCTTTCTAAAAGGTAGTTTTTTTGCAGTGAAATTGGTGTCAGTTGAAAGTTATGTGGCCTTTGCCTGTAAATCTTGTTTTCTCTGTGGTTGTTTATGGGGGTATAAATCTTATATAAGTTTTACATCATCATTCTGCCTAAAACTTAGGAAGATGTGTCAGGGGAGGCTTAGGTCAGCTTTTAGGATAAGGCTCTTCACCCAGGGGGTGGTTGGGTCGGCTCTCCAGGGAAGTGGTCACAGCACCACACCTGGCAGAGTTCAAGAGTGTTGTGTCTAAGTGTCTGGACGATGCTCTCAGGCACATGGTGTGACTCTTAGGGTGTCCTGTGCAGGACCAGGAGCTGGACTTAGTCCTGATGAGTCCCTTCCAACTCAGCACTTTCTGTGACTTCATGCTTTTAAGGCAGTTGTGGCTTTGATGATGTGCCCATCCAAGGCTTCCCGGCAGCCAGGGCAGCACGCAGATGTACCCACCCTTTGTACTTTGGGCAGCCACTCACGTTGCTGTAGTTGAATGGAGATGAGTCAGTGAGTGTAAGGGTGAGAAAATGATCTCTGGGGAACAAGCAGTGGGCACCCTGTGCAGCTGGGGTTTGCCCTGAACTTGGGGAGAATGCTGTGTCTGTGGTCAGCAGCAGGCATTGCTAGTTCTTAGCAGCATGGCTGTTCCATGTCTAGAGTTTCCTGGTGCCTGTGGCCAGATAACAAAGAAACCTTCACTTAGAAATCCTCTCATGAAGCAACTAGGGCAGGATCATCCGATTGTGTCCACTTTGTCACAAACAGGTCTGTGCAGCAGGTGTGTTGTTAAATTAACTGGTAATTTCTTTGTACCTGTGACAGGCCCAGGCCGCACATCTCCTTACCTGAGAACTTCAGCAAAGATGAAGCCCATAGAAGAAAGTGTTGAAGATGATGTCTTTGAAGCACCATCTGCTGATAAGCTTGAGCTCCAGCGGCTGCCTTAAACAGTTGTGTCCTCAGGTGTATCAGAGCTTGCACAAAGCTCCAGTGCAACAGGAAAGGGCTGAATTTGGGAAGAATCTGAAAGATAAGCCCACTTCTCTGTGTTTGAATTTACTGCAGCATATGCCAGTGGTATCTAGATGGAAATGTCATGTTTTGTTTTACTTCAAAATAAAATAAAAACTTGTGTGGGTTTTTTGCTGCTTCTTTTTGGTTGCTTTATTTCTACTTAGACTTTTGCCATTATAAATTGAGTATTGTGTTGCTGACTAGCTGGAAGTTTCTAGACTTACTTGGTGGAGAGTATCCCCGGATTCATTTACCTGTGTTCCTTTGAAGCCTATATCTTTGTGTTTTCAGTGGGAGATTTTTAAACTGTTTCCAAAGCCATGTTGCTGTTACCAACCTTCATTGTTGTGTCAGTCTCATGTGAAAAACAGAGTCTTCTGCCTCAATTTTTTTTTTAAGGTATTTACCTTTAGTAAATACTTTCACTCTTGACTCCACAATTGTAATGATTTCAATTTCAGTTTTTCTTGGACAAAGATTTAAACTTAATGCTACCTTTTCAACCTTAACTTTTTCTTCTTTGGGCAACTGTATTATACTGAGCTTCACAATTTTCATTAGCCTAATCCATGGACTGACTGAGCTGCTCTGAATTAACCTTCCCCCAAAGAGGCACAGAAATGAAACTTGATATAGGAAATTCTGTTTAAACCCCAAAACTGGGTAGCTGCAACTTTAGTAAAGCCCAGTCTCATAAATGGAGGCATTGGGAAGCTTTTATAGGAGGTGCTTGTAGCAGTCCTGCCTGTGATATGTGGAGATGGTAGCTGTACTACTTAGCTTTGACACCTCTTGAAAATCATGGAGCAAATAGTATATTTTAACTAAATATAACAAAAAATAGCTGCTACTCCTTTTATTGAATTGCACGAAACTGATACATAGAATAATAGATGTTTGTTGTCAACTCTCTAGCAATTAGAAGTGTCATAGTCTGGGTTTTTTTGTTTATATAATTCCATATTATTTCTAAAATTTATCCTGAAAGAGCTTATTTGAATAAGCCTGCATTCAAGTTCTACAGCCCACTTCTTCCCTCCTTAAAATCTCATGCAATATCAAGATACACATTAAGTGATTGGAAGTTTGACCTGTGTTGTCAGCATTCCTTCTTCTGGGAATTTAAATCTAGTGTGTAAGATTACATCATTGTGTCTCATGCTTCTGACAGTTTTGCATTATTATAAATGACACAGAGCTGAGGCATACACAAATAGATGCAAAATATCTTCAGACCACACACATGCAAAAGGCAGCACAGTGACTCCTGGAGGAGAGCATCGTTAGGTCAATGTCTCCGACAGTTTTGCATTATTATAAATGACACACAGAGCTGAGACATACACAAATAGATGCAAAATATCTTTAGACCACAGATATGCAAAAGGCAGCACAGTGACTCCTGGAGGAGAGCATCGTTAGGTCAATGTCTCAGGGACAGTGGCCATCACTCCAAGGTTGCCCCTTGGCTACTGGGAGAGTAAGAGAGGAACTGGGAACTGTTTTACTTTTGACATTACACATTACAAAGTGTAATGTCCTTGCCCTCATGTCATTTCCCAAACTTCTGCTAGAGTTCAAACTCTTTTAAAGAGGAAAACTAAGCTGGTGGAGTAGAACTCATGCAGGTTAGCAATAACAAGAAGATGCAGAGGGTCTAAAGTAAAAATAGCAGCTCCTACATCTCCTTCTCCACCTGAACAATTTCTTGTGTTTAGTTACCAAATCAATCAATATGGAGTGCCTGGAGAGACTGCACCTCCTGAATTATCATAGAATTTGTCTTAATAATCAGGGAGCTGAGCTGCTGTGCACCCTGGCTCAGGTCTGTGAACCCTTGTCTGGTGCCTGGGAGCATGAACCAAGTTAACACCAAAGCTAAGGATGCTACAGCAGTAACACTGCAAATAATGATAAATAACTATGTCAGTTTACCAAAAGTGGTGCCTTTTATTACCTGAAAATTCTTACCTGAAAATGTTTAAATTCCTGATAAATGGGTAAAATTAATAGGAAATAAGATTACTTGATAAATACAACTTGTAGAGGGTGTTTGCTTCTGTCCGTCTGTTTCAAATAGAGTTGTTCTCAGACAACAGAAGTTAGGACAGACCGTAAACTGATTTTCCATATTGAATGAGGTACCTCCTTTCATTGCTGTTGCAGAAGGTAGGGAAAAGCATCATGTAATCATTCAGAGTTAAAGGAGGGCTTGTGTAGAGGAGTAGATGTGCTGTAAACGTGTCACTCATTTCAAGGCAAAACTAATTTCGATTAGTAAATCAAACATAAAACAACATATATTTTAAAACCAGAACACCATGTTCTGTTGGTCATAACTGTAACTAAGTACAGTGAACTATATGTGAACTATGGTAGGAGATTGTTGGCTTTGCTAACCAGAATGCCTGTGGGGAACAAATGAAATGTACTTCACCAATTTTTTTCTTCATTTTTTAAAAATTTTTTTTGAGAATTCTGTGATTTCAATGAATTTGTATATATCAAAATGCATCTTGAGTACCACATGTGTCAGGGAAACTGAACTATAAGATATCAATTAGCTCTATCAAGGATTGTCTTAGTTAAGGCTCTGTTCCATTCTCATAGCAAAGCACCGTTTGTCTCAATCTTCAATTTTGTGGAATGAACTTCATGTGGAGCTGACTGAGCTATAGCTCTCATGCTCTCAGGTAGGAGCCTGTGTGCTCCTACCCCAGGAGGTAAATCTGTTTTGAAGGAACTGGCCAAAGCTGGAAAAAATGAATTTGAGCTTTTAGAGAGGATTCAGAAAATCAGCTGTAGCTTAGCATTTGGGAAGTGGTAGAGCTGGCAAACCACTACACCTTAATGTAAAGAAACATGGTAGCCATGATCCACATGATGTTTCTACAGCTAAAAAACTGCTCTCTAGTTCTAGTGCATGGTGGACATTTCAGTAAATGGCAAGTTTAGAAAAGGTTAGGTCAACAACCAAAACTCTTTCAATAATATGAATGTATTTTAGATAACCCTTGTTTTAAATCAGTCATTTTATAAACAAGTCAAATGTATTTAAAAATTTAAAAATATCATGTGTTGAACTGGTACGCAAATACTAATTGTCTTCTTTTTTTCCTATATATTTCCCTTTAAGAAATTAGGACAACAGAATTATAATCTCCTAATGGAAAATAGGCTACTTTACTCGATACCTGCATTAGTAAGCAAAATAAATATCTATCAAAAGAAGTGATTTGGTTTTAAAAAACAATTAAAAGGCAAGGGCTTTGTTCTTCAGCAAATTTTTGGCACCTAGGTAGACCCTAATTGCAAAAGTACAGACTTGGAAAGTAGCTCTGCAGATGGAAGGCAGCAATTTTTAAAGCAACATTGTGCATGACAAGCTATTACATACACATTCACAAATCATTTGGATGGAGTTTTGGGAAGTCAAATTGTAAAGACCTTTAATTTTAACCTTATTACTGGAATTACAACAACAGTTACTTTAATTAGTTTCTCAGAAATGTTGTAGTAAGTGCTTCTGAATAAAATGCTGGCTTTGCATCTCTGATGCCATGTTGGTCACAGCTGCTCCTGTTCAAAGGGGAATGGGTTTTCAGTACTTAGGGGATTAATAAGGGAAGACAAACCATCCTAGTTAATTAGCCCTGACATGTAAACTTCCTGAGAGCATGCTGATGATAATATGAAAGTCATTAGAGGGTGCAGAGATGCAATGCAAAGCAAAAGTTGTGGGATCACTCGGTATTGATTGCAATATGGTCTCTGTACTGTTTTTTCAGTAAGGAGAGCAACATGGAGGGGCACAGCAACACTGCAAAAGTTGATGGGCTCTTTTTGGGCCACTTAACAGAACAAAATACTATCAGTTGATAAAGTTATTATGACTACAGGTAGAACAAAGCATTTTCAGTGAGCTTAAATATTAGCTGGATTTTAGTTCACAAGAATATTTACTTAGCATTTCATGCACATAAGTTTCAAACCTAAGTTACACTGGTGCCATGTCATGCCTGTATTTGCTAAATACCTCTACAAGCCTTGAGAGCCTTTTTTTCTTTTCTCAGAGAACTCTTTAAGACCCCTAAGTCAGAGATAAAATAGATATTAGTACCCCTTTGCACAGGGGTGAGTGCAAGTATTACTAAAACCTCCAGTATTACACCTACTGTAGCTGAATACTGTTCAGTCACTGCAATTTACCGTGCTTGAATTACTCCTTAGCTTTTTCCTGGGGGATTAATATCTGTTACAGCCACATCCTGATTTCCTGTGCAAAGTGCTTTTGGGATAACAACTCCCTGTCATCCTTCATAGCAAAGAACAGATCAAAAGCAGTGCCTCTTGACATGCATCCACTTGTATGCTATTCCATCAACACTCTTGTGTTCGCTGTCACTCATTGCTCCATCCTGTTCCAGAAGCTAAGGAACTTAATAATAGTATAGACATTGTCTGCCAAAATACTGTGAAGAAATATGAATTTTCTAAGCTTTTAAATGCCTGTTCTTCTGCAGTTTTTTTCAAAATAATTCCCCTGATCACACCATGCTCTGCAGTTTTACTTGGTAATTTTTTTTTATTTTTCAGTGTCCTTGGGCTTCTCTCCAAATCTTTATTAAAAGCTTTCTCTATAAAAACTTTTTGTGGCCAAAAATTTCCAGGGTTTCATGACTCATGTCTACATGCACTAAACAAGTGCTTTGTTAGGCTTTCAGGGACACTTTAGGAGGACTACAACTTACTTAGAAAACCAAACAGAATGTTTTTCTCTGCATTTCCTCATTGTTTAATTTTTCAAAAGCTGCCATAGGTCCACAAAGGGACAAGAGAGGAAGGAATCCGTTTCAAAAGGGTGCAAAGGTGCAAATTTCACCTTCCAGTCAAGTCCACAACCTGGTTCATTAGGCTACTTCTCTATGCAGATGTGCTCAGGAAAGCTGGCAGTGACACTGTTCTGTGGCTGGGTTGCTGGCTTAAGTCTTAGAAAGGGCAGGTGACATACCTGCTGCTGGCTAAACTGGACTTGTCCTGACCTCTAAGGGCTTTGGGATGAGTGTGGGGCATGAGGCATGCAGTCACTTTCAGGGGAGAGAGAAAGAAACCTTACCAGAGGCAGGAC